GGAGAGTCTCGCCCTGTCGAGGTTCGGACGGGCCGGTTCGTCGCAGGGCGGAATATCGCGACGAGAGGGAGGTGTCGTTGGCGGAGATTCCGGCGCAAGGGAGGGTCGTCATCCCCGGCAGACCCATCTCGTCGAACCGAGCCTGCAACTCGTCCTCTATCGCCTGCAGTCGCCACGCCACCGGCTCCTCCGCCTCCGTCCCATTCCGCCTCATCGTCGCGGGAAATGCCTCGACGCGGCCCTCGACCTCGACCGGCCTGGGCAGCATGGGTTTCTCAAACACTGCGGTCGCATACGCCGCATGTCGCATCCAGAGGAAGTGGCCCACCCAACCGAGGACTCCTGCGCCGATCAAACACGTTCCGGCAAAGCACAGCCAAGCGGACGAGTACAACAACCCGACGAGGCGCGCCTGGCGCCTGTGCGAGCGGAGGGTCGCGTTGTAGGACCGTGGGGAGGTCGGGAGGTCGACTACGTGCGAGTACGGTCGTCCATCGGCGCGTGGTCTGCCGTTGCGGGCGGGTCGCAGGAAAGTCCGCTCGCGCCCCTCGTCTGGGCTGTCCTCCCAGTCCTTGGCGTGTTTGTGGGATGTCCACCGTGGGAGGAGGGGAGTTTCTGGCGAGTCTGCTGCGCTGTCGAGGCTGTCGCGGGCAGAAGAAGGAGGCGGCGAGCGCGGGGATGGCGAGGCGGTGCGGTCGCTCGAGCGGAAGAGGGAGGGCATCGCGAGCGCACTGGCTCGAGCAGCAGCGGGTGTTGTCCCTAATCAGTCACAGCAAAGAGTCCACTCAGCAGCAAGTAGGAGTGAGCGAGGTCGAGGAGGTTGGAAATGAAGGGTGCGCGGGGCCTGGACAGGGCGAGCTGCGAAGGGAATCCCCCAGCCAGGAATAACTCCATCCAGTCAAGTTTGGCACCACACTCGAGCGGCAACTCCGATGATGAGGGATGAGCATGGGACTGGACATGGCGAGTGAGCGGGACAAGGAAGAACCAACCCAAGCTGACCTTGAGTGCGGACCTCGGCATTCGTCACGGATGGTCTGCCTCGGGACGAGGGCACGCGTGGCGCAGGGCACAAACTCACGCCAGAGTTCCGCACTTGGCTTCGTTCGAAAGGAAGCGAGGCGGATTAGCGTCGTCGAGGGGAGGCTGGCGTCGAGGAGAAGCAGCGACGACCACGAACCGAGCGTGCATGAAGTGAGAGTGATGTGGTCGTTGCAGGGGCGAGGAGACGGGTCTACTGCTTGTCCTCGTCGAGCCAGTCGAGAAAGTCGGGCGTAAAGTACGTCAGGACGAGTGTGCAGCCTGCGATCCAAAGCGCAGTGTGGCATCAGCTCCCGTGACAGTCACTGCAGTCGCACAGAGAGAGAAACGAAAGAGGCGCCGGCGACTCACCAGCCCTCAAGAACCCCTCGACGCTCTCAAACGCCATCGCCTTCAACTCGTAAACCCCCGCGTTCGCACCCGCATGCAACATGGCAAACTCGCCCGAGACCTGATAGCACGCCAGCGGGTGGCTCGGCGCGAGCTCGCGCGCTTCCCGCATGATGTCCAGGTAGGGCATCGCCGGCTTGACCATGAGGAAGTCGGCGCCTTCCGAGACGTCGCGGAGCTGTGCAGCGCGAGTCAGCGAGTGTGTAGGTGGGGACGAGGGAGGGACGCACGATGGCTCGCCGGGCGAGGCCGCGCGCGTTCGGCGGGAGTTGGTAGCATTTCCGGTCGCCAAAGTTGGGCACCGAGCCCGCCGCTTCCCTGCGAGCCAGTCAACGTGGGTCAGCCGACCTTTCGCATCGCGAGCGCGGAGAACAAGCCGCGCAACTCGAGGAAAGCCCAGCGAGCGCACCTGAACGGCCCATACATCCCGCTCGCAAACTTTGCCGAGTACGACATGACGCTGCACCTGTTCCCGAACCCATTGTCCACGAGAGCCTGCTTGATCGCTCCGATGCGTCCATCCATCATGTCACTCGGGGCGACGATCTGCGCTCCGGCGCGGGCGTAGGCGAGAGCGACTTCTCGCATCCGCTTGACGCTCTTGCCGTTGTCGATCACTTTCGCCTGCGCGGCTTGTTCGGCTTCGGTAAGGGTCGAGACGTCGCACAACTCGCCACAATGACCGTGGTCCGTGTACTCGCACAAGCACACATCGCACGCCACGACCACGCCGGGGAACTCGCGTCGGATCAACTGGGTCGCGAGGATGACGGGCGTACTAGGGTCGTCGGCTGGAGACCCCCGAGAGTCTTTCTGCATGTGCAGGGGGACGCCGAAGAGGATGACGGAGCGCAGTCCTTTGGCGACGAGAGGGGCGAGGAAGGAATGGAGTTTGTTGATGCCCCAGCGTTTTTGGCCGGGGAGCGACTTAATCTCGACCTGTGGAAGGCGACCGAGTCAGCTTTCGTACGCTAGCCACGCCCAAAAGCGAGGGAAGCGGGACGGCGGGGAGAGAGAAGGGCGGACGCACCACCGCGTCCGGCTCGTCCGTGATGAAAATCGGGTACATGAGCATGTCCTTCGTGAGGTGTCGCTCGGCCTGCAGCGACCGCAGGAGGGGGTGGAAGTAGCCTCCCGCGAGGGTCGACTGGATGGGGACCGCGAGCGAGTCGGAGGACATGCTGGTGAGTCGGGTGAGTTGCGCCGTCGGTGGGGGGTTCTGAGCAGTCTATCTGAGCACAGCGAGTCCGCCAACGAGACGAGCGAGCAGGTGGTGGATGACAGACTTCCTCCTCGAGGCGGTCTCGCGGCACCACTTCGCTCGCTCTCGCTCTGCTGACTTGTCTGTGTGCTAGACCCGCTACAATGAGCAGGCAGGACGAAGTCTTTGAAGTGCGCAGCCTCCCAGTCGTCGTCGTCTCGCTCACGGTCCTCATCGCCTCTTCTCCCCGCAACAGGCCGTAGACTCGCTCGTGACGGGCTTTCGTACAGAACTTGCACGGTCATTGCAAGCAGCAACGGCGAACAACGACAGGCGCTCTTCCCGCCCCTCGCTCGGCGCACGCATCGCCGAGTCCATCGCTCCCTCCTCGACTTCCGCCCCACCCACCCCCTCAGGCTCCTCATCCGGCTTTCCAGGCGTCTCGAGACCCGCCTTCGCACGACCAGCGAGTCACCACACCCCTTTCTCGCACGGCGCAACACACCAGAGCTTCCCTCTCGACCCTGCTCTCTCAAATCCGGGCACGTCCTCCTCGACCGCCTCAACTTCTGCCGCTGCGAACCCCGACGCCCTCCCCGGCTACTCTCGACGACCACCTATCCTTCCCTACCTCACCGCCGGCCTACCCGCGAAACGCCTGCATGTCCTCAACTCCAAGTCGGGCAAGTTGAACCTCGAAGTGCAGGCGCGAGGGCGGGACCAGATGGTGTTGATCCAGGAGGTACCCGATGGAGAGGCGCATCTTGATGGCTTGTTGAGGGTGTCGCTTAAGGAACCGGAGTCGATCACGCATGTCAAGATCCGGCTGAAAGGGATGGTTCGGACGCTGGTCATGAAGGCGCATGCGAGTGGACGCCATCCCGTCTCGGACGAGGTCGTCTTCTTCGAGGATGGCAGGACGTTGTGGACTGCCTCAGATGGCGATTTGCGCCAGCAACTCCCGCTCAACCATTCGCCCGACCCGACCAAGCTCCAAGGCACCTTCAGCTTCCCCTTCTCCCTCACGATTCCAGGCCGCTTGACCGCCATGGCCGACCGCGACCAAACCTTCGACCGACCTATCCGCCCTCCTCCCTCGTTCATGCTCGACGCAGCGACGACCTCGTCTTCCGCTCGCAACGACAATGGCGCGACAGCAGGTTTGCGAACAGGCGGACTTTCGACTGGCGGCTTCGAAGCATCGTGTCGGTATTACTTGAAGGTCACGCTCGGCCGACGAGGTCTCCTCAAACTCAACGAACGATGGATCATCCCCGTCGTCTTCATCCCCCGCCAGCCTCCTCCACCCATCCCTTCTCCCCTTCGTGAACGCGCCATCCGGCTCGGCATCCGCCCGCCGCACTCGAACGAAGACCCGGACTCGTGGACTGAGCGAGGGAAGTACAGGCAGCGAGCGGCGGTGCGGAAGGGTGGAGGAGGAGGGTTCTGGAAGACGGCGAAGATGGGGTGGGTTGAGGTTGAAGGGAGGATCCCGAGGCCGCAGAAGTTTCCGAAGGGCGCGGGAGAGAGGATCCAGTTCGAGGTGCAGGTGCGTCCACTCGCGCGTACGGCGGCGCCTTTGCGAAGAGACGCGCCGCTGTTGCACCACCTCTTGTGAGTCGCATGCTCACGCGAGGTTGCACAGATCACGTCCTCGGATCCGACTGGCATCAGCCGCTTCGGGCCAATCACGGTTGCTGTGACTCTCCTGCAACGCACCATTGCTACCGCACAGCGACTCTGTGCGTCTCCCTCGCACTGTCACCCCTCAACCCCGCTGACGCTGCATACTTTGCAGCGAGTTCGCACGACCGGGTCGTCCTGACTGCCTCGTCGGTTCGAGCAGTCGGGCCGTCGACGGGCGTTGCGGTCCAGATTGGCCAGACGGGCGAGATGGGCTCGAGGATCACATATGGCGGCTCGTTGGTGCTTGTGCGTGTCACGCTCGCTCTAGATCCTGCGCAAGTGCGCTGACTTCCACTCGTTTGCAGACTCCGTCGATTGTCGCTTCCTTCCGCGCTCCGAACCTCCAAGTCGCCTACCTTCTCTGCGTTACGCTCTAGTACGTCCTGAGCTTCCCTCGGCGCAACTCGCTCATAGCCACTGACCCTGAGGCATTCGCAGCGAACCCGCCAAGAACCCGGCCTTCACCACTCACACCCACCTCGCCTCGGTCGCCATCCCGCTCGAGATCGTCTCTTGCGCACTGCTCCCGCCCGTTGGAGACGGTCCAGCAGACCCCGACATGCTCGGCCCGCCGCCTCCGCCGCAACAGCCTCCATCGCAGCCTCAGTTCGGCGCGCGACCTCCTGAGAAGGCTGCGGCACCTCCGCCTCCAGCAGCTGCACCAAGTGGCTTTGGCGCGGCGGGACCTTCTGGCTCCACCGCGACTGCGTCACCGGCACCCCCAGCTCTCCCGCCTCGCACCGCTTCCAGCGTCTCGAACCCCATGATCGACGAAGCCGAGGAGCGCAGGCTCGAGGAGGAGTACGGGCTGCCGCCGAGCTACTTCGACGTTGTCGGCGTCGAGGGAGAGGGGAGAGGAGGGCGATGAGCGTATGGAGGCGTCCGGGGAGGGAGCAGGGCACATTTTAGCGATTCCCCTCAGCCGGTCTTGCGTCTCTTCTTGTCATTGTAAGGCGTAGTTGCGCTTTCTCTCTCGCAAAGTGTATAGTCGCGAAACGGCAAAGGTCAAAAGGGGCTTGCGAGAGACGGTACAAACTACACACATCCGAATGCTCAAGCCCAGCGTGAACGAACCCTAAGAGATTAGAGGAGCGCGAAATGGCTAAGGATGCGGCAAGGGAGCCGCAGGTTGTCTCGACTGGCGTGTCGAGCGAAGGGAGGAGGAGTCCGACTCGGACAGCAAGTCGATGTGAAGTCCGCGAGGCGACGGTCACGGGCAGCTGCGGCGAGCTGGGCGACGTCGCAATACTCAGGGGAAGAGATGAAGGCGTGCTTGTGCGGCTCGGGTCGATCAGCCTCCTGCGGCGAGCGCCTTCTTCAGGCCCTTCTCGTCCGTCACCTCGAGACCCCTCGCGCGAGCCTTGAGGCGCAAGTTGCGGTCGAACGTGATGAGGACGACCTGTGCGGCATCGCTCGGGACCTTGACCTTGTCGGCGATGGCGCGGGGGTTGACGAGCGCGACTCGGTTCGTGAAGTGGTCCTTCTGCCAGGTGGCGGCGCGGAGGATGACGTCGTCCATTGTGCGGGCAATGTCGTTGGACGAGCCGTAGTCGCCGCCCTCGTAGGACGAATCGGCTCCGCCGCGAAAGTCGATCGACTCGTTGCGGATGGCAAGGTCCTTGAGGTAGTTGCCGCGACTTGTCTGGATCTTGAGGAAGCGCGAGTAGCCGCGGATCGCCTGCTCAAGGTAGTCGATGACCTCGTTTGCTGCAACGCCGAGCGGAGTCGAGTTGCGCTTGAGGCCATCGAGTTCGGTAACAACGGCGAGTGGAACAATGATCGTCCAGCACTCTGCGGCGACGAGCTCGCTGAAGAGCTGAATCGACGTGAGGAGGACGTTCGTGTCAAAGACGAGGATCGTGTAGCCGGGGAAGACCTTGGGCAGCGACGCTGCCTTGCCGCCGAGCTTGACCTTGAGGCTGGCCTTGCCGGACGAGCGAGTAGCCGAGCGAGCCTGGCGGATGATCGCCTTGAGATGGCGCCGGCGGGCCTGCAAAGCAGAGGAGGATGAGTAGCTGCAGTGAGTGAGAGGTTTTGGGACGCCGCACCTTGAGCTCCTTGACCTCCTCCGAATCGTTCTCGTCCTCAAAGTCCTCCTCATCGTCGCTTTCGTCGCCATCCTCCTCCGCCGAGGCAGCGCTACCGGCCTTGTCCTCCAGCGCGAGGCGACTGAGCCGTTCTGCCTCCCGCGCATCCTCATCCTCCTGCCTCCAGCGCTCGATCTTGTCGCGCAGGACGCCCGAAACGCGGAAGCGCTGCTTGAGGTCCATCGTGCGCATATCAAAGTCGAAGCCGGGGATGTTGCGAACCATCCACGCCGCGCAAATGGCTAGTCGGCGCCAGCGTCCTTCGGCAAGCTGCATCGCAAGGCTGCGGTACGCCTCTCCGCTTGGCGCGGCCTGGCCGACCGCGTAGTCGTCGTCGGTGGTCGAGGCGGCGGTCACATCGTCAAGAGCAGCGAGATCGAATTTGAGGGCGTCCATCTCGCTCTCGACGCGGACAGTCGTGCCTTCGACACCTTCGATGGGCGGCGGCAGCCCCGCGACTTCCGGCGCTGAGCGGTGACGGTGCTCGCGCCAGTACCCGCGACCGAAAAGCTGACGACCTGCCCAGTCCATGCCGCGGATGCACCAGTCCTCGGGAAGAGGCTTGCCGCCGACGAGCTTCGGGGGCGTTTCGAGGCGGATCTCGACGACGGGCGGGATGCGACCGAAGAGCTCGGAGAGCTGCTGCCATGGGACGGCTCGCTCGACGTGCTTGAACGCGGCGGGGTGGAAGGAGAGGTGAGCGAGGAAGGTAAGCAGAACCGTGACGTAGGGATTGACGACGGTGGTCGTGGCGAGGCGACGAAACGGCTCTTGCAGAGCAACCGAAAGGAGCGAGAAAGCGAGTCGCTGGGCGAGCTTGAAGGGCAGAGGGTCGTCTTCGGGCGAGGACGGCACAGGCGCGTTCAGCTGCTTGACGACGTCCTCGCCGGGGACGGCGGTACCGTTGCTACTCGCCCGCTCAGTATCGTCGCCAATGTCGGAGACGGCAGATGACTGCGTCAGCTCTTCGGCGCGCTTGACCATGATTGCCTGCGGCGCGAGGCGGGCCTTGTTGTTCGACGCCGACGCAACATGCCGAGTCGAGGCGTGCTGACCATGCCGGCGAGACGAGCCAGCAGCTTCGGGCGCGTCGTACGAGTCGCGGTTCATGAGCTTGCGGAGGACGCCGTCCTCGGCACCGTACTGCAAGAGAGCGGCGATGTTGATGATGCCGAGCATGAACCACTCGCGGTCGCCGAATGGAGCATTCGCGTCCTGCTCCATCGACGTCCAGTCATCCTTGGCCTTGTTGAGCGCCCAGCCTTCCTCTCTCAGTCGCTCGACAAAGCGCTCGAGGCACTCGTCAAAGTCGTCGAGCGAGATCTTGGTGAAGAGCATGCCGTGAAGGTGAACGAACAACTCGGCCTTGGTGACGTCGGGCTGGGTGCGACGAGCCTGGTGCTCGTCTTCAAAGAGCGGAAGGATTGATTCGCGGGCGGAGACGTAAGGGTGTGCGGCGGTGAGGCTGCGAAACAGAGGGAAGGTCAGTGGACGAGTTTGAGAGAACAGAAGCGTGGGAACGCACCTCTTGCAGTAGTGATAAAGCGATCTCAACTCATCGCCCTTGCTCAACAGCGCCAAATGATGCTGCAACCTCCCCGTTCCCGGATTCTCCGCCAATCCTTGACCATACCAATCCTTCGCAATCTCGCGCCACGTCTCCTGCTCCTCGAGGTCCCAGTCATTGAGCGCCGCTTGACCGATCGAGGCCGCGTCCGCAGGGCGAGGCGGTTTCGCGTCCTCCGCTTCGCCCTTCTCGTGCGCGTCGAGCGCGGCGGCCGTCAGCGATGCGGACGCCGACGTCTGCTGCTGCGCTGCATGCACGCGTGATGCGAGTCCAGCGACGGCCATGCGGTAGCGGGCGAGATCGCCAAGCTGCTCGATCCATGCTGCCTGCAAACTCGCGACGAGCGGTTCGTCGAGGAGCTGCGAGTAGAACGTGTATGCCCACTGGCAGTACTCGATAAGGTGTTCGAGGACGTTTGCGGATGAGGAAGAGGCAGAGTCGGGCCGGAAGGGGGAGGCGAGAACGGCGTGACGCATTCGCTCGAGGAGCTGGTGGAATGCGGTTTGCCAAAGGCGGGTCGGGATGTTGTAGCGCTGAGGGAGGGACTGGAAGGAAGCGGGATGCGACGGGTCGAGAGCGAACTTGAGAAACTCGAAATGAGCCTCGACGAGTCTGAGGGGCCAATGTTAGGCAGTGAAAGTGGGAGCGAGCGGGAGGGAGCGAACGCACTGCTTATGCCGACTCGCCAACTTGACCCAGTACTCGTCATCAAAGCGTTTCGCCTGACCCTGAATCCGCACGCCAGCGGCCTTGCCCTCCTCGCCCTCTGCATCTCGACTCGCCGCAGCCTGTGCCGCGCGATTCTCCTCCTGCAACTGCGTCTCAAGCGTCGTGATCTCCTTGTACAACCGCTTGATGTGGGCAAGAGCGGGGTGCTGGCTGCTGCGCGACCGTGCCGAGCCGCCCGTGAGGATACTGGCACCGTCGTCTGCGCCGCCCGGTGCGGTGTAGTCGCTTCCGCCTGCAGGCGAAGCCATCACGTCCGACATGCTCGACTGGAACGAGAGGACCGAGCCGTTCGCTAGCGAGCGGACGTCCTTCGTCCTCGCGCTCGGTGCGGGCGCAGCCTGGGTGAACCGCATCGGGTCATCCCTCCTCGGATCGAACAGCTGCCTGCTCCTCCCCGCCGCTCCACCCGCTCCGCCGTCTCCCTCTGCTTCTTCATCTCCTTCTCGTCGCCGTCTCCTCTGACGCCCAGAACTCCTCGTCCGTCCGCTGAAATCCGTCTCGACACTCTCCAAACTCTCCTTACTGTCCTTCGCATGCGCATCGGCACGTGACCCGCTCGCTCCTGCGCCCACTCGGCGACCCAAGTCTGCTGGATCGATTGCTTCGCGCTTCGAACGGGCTGGACGGCGAGAGGACGACAAGCCGGGGCCTCCGTCTTCCCGCACTTCGCGCTCGGGGCGGTGTCGAGGTGCAGAGTCGCTCGGATGTGCGGCTGGTGTGCGCGAAGAGCGGTGGACGGGCGGGACGGGCGGAGGGAGAGGCGCTTGGGTAGACGGAGGGAGCGTTGATGAGCGAGGGTCATACAGCTCGCGCGAAGGACCGGCAGTCGCTCCGCCCGATGAAGTCGCAGAGGGTGCAGATACGGGCAGCGAGCGGTCGTAGTCGGCATCATAGCGCCCGTGTCGCTGGTGTGGGTGCTGCGCAGGCGGGGCGTGCTGGTGAGACTTGGCGAAGGGGTGTCGGCCGCCTCCGCTGCCGCTCGCGTATGGTGGAACGGAGGTATGTGAACGGTTCGAGTGGGAGAATGCGGGCTGGTAGGCGGACTGAGGGGCGTGGGAGGAGTGGCGGTAGCCGGGAGCGGGTAGGGCAGTGGTCGGCGGCGAGGGGGCGGCGTACCGGGGCGAGGAAGGAGGAGGTGCGCCGTACGGGTCTACTGTAGTGTTCGGCGACGCTGGCCTGTCGAGCGAGAGGAGAGACGGGTTTGTCGACAGTCGGTTTGATGAGGAAACAACGGACGGCGGGACTCGTCGTGCTCCTCCGTAGCCCGCTCCTGCGGCCGCCCCTGCCGCTCCATACTGCCCCTTCACACACTCCTGCTGTCCCCGCCCCGGCGAGTGCGGTTGCGCGGACGGCGTGTCCTGATCCGCAGGCGAGCGAGGACGCAGCGTCTGTCGCCAGCCGTCGATGAGGGCGGCGGGGTTGTTCAGCCTGGACCTGTGTTTAGTCGGAGAAGCGTGCCCTGCAGTCGCCTGGGCGTCATTCGTGCGCATAGAGAGCGACGGAGGGTGAAGAGGTGCGGCGGCGGCCATCCGAGGCGTTGTCAGCCCGTCCGCGGCCTCCTTTCCGGTTGTTCGTTCGAGCGAGCGTGTTCGTTCGTGCGTGTGAGCAGTGCTGGTGAGCTGGACGAGCGCAGGAGGGAGCGGGAGCGCCAATTGAGCGAGTTCGCAGTCGGACTCGACTTCGCAGTTCGTTGCGATTCAGGCTGACTTGGAAAGGGGTTGCGATAATCTCCTGCGCGTGCGAAGCTAACCGCGCTAAACGGGCTTCGTACGATTGGACAGGCGCAGCAGAGGGAGCCGCCGTCGTCGAACCGGCGAGCGAGTGAGGAGGAGAAGGTGTCGCTCCTTCGCTGGCAGGCACAGCAAGACTGGCTGGAGCCGTATCCTACAGTACTGCAGGCATTATTGAAAGCAAGACCGGATTTACCGTGAGCAAGCTGACCTCAGCGAGGAGGAGGAGGAAGACAGCTCACGTCGACGAAGCACTTCTCGCTCGCCGTGCTGCTGCTGCCATGTCTGCTACGCAAGCGCCACCCAGCGTCGCTCCGTCGGGCGAGGAAGCCATCCACCGCACAGTCGACGCCGAGCCACAGGCCTTCGTCGACAGCGAGGTCCCGCTCGACGAGGCGTACGAGGTCGACCTCACCCTCAGCGAGATCGACAAGGGCGGGTACCAGCGTGTGCGTAGCCTGCAGTACTTTCTCAAGCCAGCCGAGCGCAGCCGAGCTGACGGTCGAGTCGCGCGAACAGATTGCACTCCAGTTCGCTGATGAGCAGCTGCACGACGCCGTGGCGGTCTACAGGGCTTTGCGGGATCGCTTGCCGAAGGAGAAGGAGCTCTACGTGCTTGCGGATACGACCTACGGCAGGTGCGTCACAGCTGTAAACGCTTGCGCGGTCACTTCCCCTCGCGATGGGCTGACCTTTGCTTGTTGCTCGTCTCGGCTTGCAGCTGCTGCGTCGACGAGGTTGCAGCACAGCACGTCGACGCCGACTTTGTCGTTCACTACGGGCACACCTGCCTCTCCCCGTTCGTCAACCCCCAATTCTCCCTTGTTCTCGCTGACCTTCGACTTTCCTGCAGAACCGCCCGCCTTCCCGTTCTCTACGTCCTCACCAAGCGCGAGATTGATCCGGACCATGCTGCGAGCTCCTTGGCAAGCACAAGCCGGGCGGGCTTGGAGGAACAGCCTGCAAAGGCGGCGATCGTGTTGTACGATGTCGGCTACGCGCACAAAGCTCGTGAGTCCCGCCTGCATGAATGCTGAAGCCTGCTTTGAGTGTATTGAACGTCCTTTGCGCGCAGACCTCGTCGCTGATGCGCTTCGCTCTCACCTCCCGCCTTCACTGCCCGTCGTTCTCTCACACCTCGACAAGCGCGCCAACCTCCGCTCGCACGCCCACACATCCGGCACCATCTCCGAGACCTCAACTTCTTCATCCACCACGAAGGGCAAAGAGCGCGCCCCTTCTTCCCCTCCTTCCGCCTTTGCGGCCGACACCGACACCCCCTCGCTCGCCTACGACGACGAGCCGTCCGTCCCTCCCCCGCCCATGACCGTCCCACGCACTTCCTCGCGCTACGACTTACCTGAAGGCGTCGAGAGCATCGAGGACTGCGTCTTGTTTTGGATCGGACCTGAGAGTTTGGCGTTGAGTAATGTGTTGTTGACGCATGGGCGGTGTAGGGTGCGTGCGACGCTCTCCCTCTTGTCCTCGGCGGCTTGCGCGAGCCCGTACTGACATCGCGGGGCTGCTTCATGCGCAGGTCTGGTCCTACGACCCGACGACTCGACACGCTCGCCTCGAGAGCGGGCGGACGAACCGGATGTTGATGCGGCGGTATGCGACGGTCGAGAAGGCAAAGGATGCAGACGTGATTGGTATCCTCGTCGGGACTCTCGGTGTTGGTGCGTCTTACTTCCTCTCGCCCTTTCTGGCAACGAAGGCTAAGATTGTCCGCTTGCAGCCGCCTACCTCCCGCTCATCACCCATCTCCGTCAACTGATTGCCTCGCATCACAAGAAGAGCTACACGGTCGCCGTCGGCAAGCTGAACCCCGCCAAGCTCGCCAACTTCATCGAAGTCGAGTGCTTCGTCCTCGTTGCGTGTCCCGAGAACTCGATGATTGATTCGAAGGTGCGTGAGGGATCGTCTCAAGTACGCTTGCTCCGCCCAACGAGCGGGTAGCTGACTTGACCTGGGATAACCATCATGCAGGACTTCCTCCGCCCGATCGTCACGCCCTTCGAGCTCGAGCTCGCTCTCACTTCCAAAGCCTGGACAGGCGACTACATCCTCGACTTTGCGCAGCTACTCGAATCGTCCGACTTTGGCCAGGACGCCGGAACGGTTGAGGTCGAGCAGGGAGAGGAGGACGAGGGCGAGGCCGAGGCAGAGGATGGCGAGGCGCCGGTCTTTTCCGCTGTTACGGGGACGTATCGGCATCCGAAGAAGTACTATCACCGAGGGTTCAAGGGTGAGTCGCGCTCGTCCATCGCTACTCACCCTGTGACGATTCGAGTCTTTCTTCGAGCTCTCGCTCACCGACTTCTCTCCTTCTCCTTGTTGCGCACAGACGCCGACGACCTCACATCGCAAGCTTCAGCTCTCGCAATCCGCGATCAGTCCTCCGCCGTTGCTCGCGTCCTCGGCTCAGCAGCAGGTCAGCCGTCTTTCCCTCCGCTTCCTCCGCTTCACGGGCTGACATCCCTCGCACACAGGCGAGTACATGTCAACGCGGACATACAAGGGTCTCGAGCCGCGGTACGGGCAAGATGCGCCTGCTGTGCTGGAGATGGGCCGGGAAGGCGGTATTGCGCGCGGGTATGGGTACGAGAAGGGCACAGACGGCGAAACGGAGTAACGAGCGGGCTTGCAACGCTGCGCTCGCGGACGCATCAAATAACTGCTTGAGCGGACGTGTTTCGAGAGAAAAAGGATACAGAGAGTCTACGCCGTTCCAGTGTCCGTTTTTCGTACTGCCGCCTCCTCGTTTGAAGACCTCCTGCTTCTTCGGTTGCTCCTGCATGTGTCTGCGAGTCAGCAAACGCTCGTCAAGGCTGTGGACGCCGAGAGAGGCGAACGCACCGCTTGACCTTCTCAAGCATGACGTTCCTGTCCTTGCGACTTGAAGACCGCTCTGTGACAGCGAAGCGTCAGCAGGATAGTCTTCTTGGAAGGGCGCAGGAACGTACGGAGACTGGCTGCGAGAGCGCGGCGGCGGCGGACGCTGAAGCGAGAACGTCGTCGGCGGAGGCGGCGGCCTGTACGCGAGGTCTGGCGGTGCATCGACCAAGTGCTCGATGGACGGGTTGTTGTGCGTCCATGGGCGCAGAGGAAGGCCATAGTGGCGCTCAATCTCCCACGGGTGCGCCCTGAAGGGAACTTGCGGGTCGAGGGTGAGCCGAGGCGGGTCGTTGCTGATGGGTAGCAACTGCAGACGACGCAGAAAGTCAGCACGTTCATGTGTGCAGACCTGTAGCGCGAGACGTACCGGTGAGCTGAGGTTAGGCCAGTGTTGCCGACGAGCAGCGTGTGCGGAAGGGTGCAAGCCCTCATTGTTGCGAGGACTGCGACCCCAATCACCGAACGACCCGTCAGACGACGCACTTGGCAGGACACCGAGGTGTTCTTCTTCGAGATCCTGCAACTCGGGACAGTCAGACTGGCGGCGGAGCTGAGCGTTCCATGCGAGAGACGCACCTTGTTGTGGCTGTTACCTTCGAGAGCCGCCAAAGCTTCAGCATTCGACGAAAGGCGCTGACATTGATTATATAGCCGTCAGCGCGAACGACGAGTAGAGACGACGAGATTGGGCGCACTCGAGGATTTTGATAACTCTGCAACGATTCTCGACGGTGCGTAGAGCGCCCAGTTCGCTGCGTATCGTGCCCAGACTCCCTGTGGCTATCATCGCTCGGAGTTCGAGCGCGAGGGACGAACGGACCAGCCCCAGACGTCGAAGGACCTTCGACCAAGTCCTGCAGGTCTTTGAAGTCAGCCGCGCTTCCGACGCTCATTCGGGACCAAGAGTAGCGTACCCTGTACATGTGGGTGTTGGCAATGACCGCTAAGCCAGGGTGAGCCCGAGGACGACTGAAATCAGCGGGTGGCGGTTGTCGCGATCCAGGGTCCACCGAGCGGTTGCGACGGAACGGATTAGTCCACGGCGCCATGCTAAGTGCAGACGAATGTCGAAGGGTCGAAGGGTCGAGGGGTATTGCGCGGAGGGCGAGCACGGAGGAGAGGAAGAGGATAAGAAGAGGAAGGGACGGACCTTCCGCTGGCTGAACCCTCGAAAGGTCCGCGGATTGTCCGGCACGAAGAGGAGGCTTTTGCCGAGGAGCCAGCGACAGGAGACCCGTCGTCAGCAGATCTTAAGAGAGGAGAGCAAGGCGGCGAGGAGGCGATGCATAAAATTGACAACAGGCAATAATTTGCTTCTACGCGGTCCCTCTGTCCTCGACCGCTTCACGCCGGTCTATACGCCCCTTCCACCACTTCAGGATGACCACCGCGAGCTGGCCAAGCACGACTTGCGAGCCTTGGTACAGCACAAGCGGGAGAGAAACAATGCCTCTCGCTTGGCCGTCCAAACCGCCGTATAAAATCGAGACGATGGCTGTGCAAGAAAATCGTGAGCTGCCAAGTTGGCGAAGAGGAACGGAAAAGGACGAACGGGCCCCCAAAGCTGCTCCCTTCGCACCGCCGACAAACAAACAAGCGATGGTTGTCGCTGGATCGAAGAGGGGTCCACTGCTGTCGTAGGCGACTTTGTGACCCTCGAGCCGTAATCGAGGCGAGGGGACGAGGCGACAGACGAGGAAGAGAAGAAGCGAGATGACCTGGACACGAGCAAGCGGCGCGTTAGGTCCGCCTCGACAACGCAACTGCAAGCGACACTCGACTCACCAAGTACAGTCCGATGTTGACCAGCACGACGAGGGCGACAGCCTCGCCCGTCAGGATCTCGAAAGCTCCCTCGTAGAATGCCCCGCTAAAAGTCGACCAAATGACGAGGAGGAGGCACACGCTTCCCACCTTGCCGAGCCGGAGCGTCGTCCGAGTCCACTTGACCTGCTTAGGCCAAATGTACTGCAGGATCTCGCCGACGGTCAGGGGGACGAAGACCGTCAAACCGAGCTGCTGGATCACCTGGCGGTACAGCTCGCCGATGCCGCCTTTGCCGGACGCGACGGGCTTGCCGAACGACCAAGTCGAGGACGACATGAAGAGGCTGAGGAGTGCGGGAGAGAGGAAGGTGCCGAAGAGGTTGCCGATCCTGCCGCGCGAAGACAAGCATTAGCACCAGGAGGGAGTCGGACATTGTCAGGGCCGCTGACTCACATCACTTCGACTGTCGTCGCAGCCTCGTCACCACCCGCCTGCCCCGTCATCACGACGTTCGACGAGACCGTCGTCGGCAGGACCGCCATAACCTGCATCCCGACGAGCGCCCAACGGTCGAAGCGCTTGTACTGCGGGTCGGCGGCACAAACGGCGTTGATGATGGCGAAAGTGACGGCGGGGAAGAGGAAGAAGGAGGTGATGTGGCAAACGAGGTGGAGTTTCCAGTCGCCTGCTCGCAGGAACTGCGGCGAGGAGCGAGGGAAGGGTGCGGGAAGGTGGTCAGCGGATGGTTCGGACGTGTGAGTACTAGCTGGATCCTGCGGCACGACATACGAGGTTGCGCAGCGGCAGAGTGAGCCCCGAAATGAAGAAGATGATGGCCACGGCGAGATACTTGATCGTGTACTCCGAGCGGATAGCCCCGCCAGGTCGAGCGACGTTCGGAAACGCCCAGCTGTGCGCTCTGAATGTTAGCGAAACGTCACACGGAGCAAGGGAGAGCAAAGACGCAACGCGAGGACTATAACGACTCCGACACCCAGAACAAACCACTGTAAACGGATCTGCGTTAGCTCTGCGCAGCGCAAGAGAAGTGCTTGAGCGCACCTGCGCCAGCAGCAAGTCCCAGACTGCCTTCAACCCGCGCTTGACCCGTCCTCCTGACCCCGCCAAAGATCCTGCATCCGCCTCGACAGCACCGTCGCGCGGGAGCTCTGCAGCATGTGCACACTCTTCTGCACGTAGGGTATCGTCGCTGGGTCCCTCCAGTGGCCGCTTGGCGGTTGCCGAGGCGAGTTCGGCGTGCGATAGCACGGATCGAAGGGTCGAAGTCGCGGACGGCGCGGGCGACGATGGGCGGTGCGGTGTTGTCATCGTCGTAGCAGCATCGAGTCTGTACGATGAAAGTGGAAGGAGAACGCAAAGGAGCGACGACGAGCGGTGAAGACGTCAAACCCAAGCAATCTGTCGGGTCTTCTCCTTGTCCCGACGGCAGCGATGACAAGTCTCCGAAGATAGGGGGCCAGCGCAAACGCTGCAAATCCACTGTCTAAGTAAGGGAAAGTCTACCCTAGAACCCGCCATCGTATCCCGACCGCAAGAGGTGGCACGTCTGGTGGAAGAGCCTTCCGTCTCGCCCGACGACAACGCCGTTCGGCGGTTCAGACACCTGCATGCCAGCGCTGCCGAAGCCTCCGCTCGCTCCACGCCTCGATGTCGCCGGCGTCTCTGGCCAATCCACCTCCTTGCCCTTGAGCGACGGCCGTTTCTTCATCCTCGGCCGCTCGTTCATCCCCATCGCCTCGACTACCATCGACACCGACGCCGAGCGCGACATCGGCGGCGAAGAGCCCGTCCCTTGCGGGCCCCAGACCGGCTGAAGGCATTCGGCGCAGAGACCGCCAGGGTTGCCGGCGCCAGGTCGCCAGCCGCGATCCCGCTCCGCCTTGAACTCGACGACGTGCTTGAACAAGTCTTCGGCCGAGATGCTTGACGAGAGACCGAGGAGGTCGCCTTCGAAGGCGTACGCGTCGAGCATCGAGCTCACGATGCCCTTGAACTCGGCGTATGAGCGATTTGCTGCCGGTGAACGCGAATTGGCGTCGATAAGGCGGCGAACAAGGCGGGGGAAGGAGACTTCGTGCGTCGCCGTCGTCGAGACGAGCGAAGAGAGCGCGTTCGGGATGAGCGACGAGAGGAGGTCGGATGCGTGAGGCGAGAGTCGCTGCGGCTCGCTGTCGTGCACTATGATCGAGGCACCCGAGATGCGACGGTGCACAGACGAGCGGTCGGACGACCGGGGCGGAGCAGGAGCGACGGAGCGGATGGCGCGGACGGTGCTGACGAGCGATGAGAGGTGACGGAACCAGAGCTCCTCGGGCGGCACATCTTTCGGACGCCGTCGCGTATCCGTCCGGCGAGCACACACTCCTGTCGCAGCTGCTGAGATCGCAACGATCTGCTCGACAAGCAGTTCGGGTGACTGCTGAGCGTGGCCATCCTCTGCGTCCTCCTCGTCGTCTCCCCTCAGCAGTCCCTCGAGCAGCTTATCCGTCCGCGCTTCGAGCGCCTCATCCGCCTGAGCGAGCGCCGCCTCCGTCTCGCCGCGCCTGTCGAGCGCCCACACGACCGCATCAAGCGCACCCGCTTCCTCGCAAATCTCGAGGGTGCGGTCATCGTGCGCGAGTCGGCTGGCGTCGCGCTCGAGATAACGGATGACTTGCTGTGGCTCGTGCGCGCAGAGGAGCTGGAGGTAGCGGTGCTGGAAGCGGTCGTCGAGCTTTGAGGAGGTCGAGGACAAGTCGACGCCTGCAACGGACGGCTCGCAAAGGCACCGAAGGTAGGCAAACTCTCGCCATGGGACAGACGAGAGGCGCTCGACGACCTTGTCGTGCAAGTGAGGAAGGAAGGTGTCGACGAGAGCTGCCGTCTGCTGCAAGCCATCCTCATCGACGTCGATCAAGGTCGGTACCGCATCGAGGACGACGTGCGCGAGCTCCGCCTTCTGCGCCTTCGACGCCTTCTCCGCGAGCCGGAAAGTCTCCCGCAAGAAGCCGAAGACATCGCTCGACGTGTCCGGGTCTTCGAGGTAGGTCGAAGCGAGGGCGGCCCATTTGCGCTGGCTGCGGTAGAGAGAGCGGAGGATGCGAAAGAAGCCCGCCTCCTCGAAAAGCGGGACGAGGGTATCAGAGTCGGAAGGGGTATAGGTGGACAGGAGGTATTCTGCTGCGAGTTGGCGGTCCTCCGTCGTGCTGAGGTCGGAGTCGCTGGCGAGGCGGACAAGGATATCGCGAAGAGTGGTATCGGTGAGCCGGAGGTATTGCGGGTACTTTGGGAGGTTGCGTGCGATGAAGATGTTGAGGAAGGTCGCGTCGTTTGAAGAGAGACCGCCCGACTCGCGAGAAGCCGGCGACATGACCTCGAGGAGGAGATCGAGGACGCGCTGACGGGTGAACGTCGTCCCGCCTTGCTCGCCATCGAGGAAAGGGTCTTCAAATGCTTGGTCGAGCGTGTCGAGCAGAGCCTCCGCATCGAACGAGAGGAGTAGACGAAGGTAAGGGTAAGTCGGCTCGGCTTCCTCGCCGACGGTTAAGACGCTTCGTCCGCCCTTGGCAGGCCATGACCGAGTCTGTCCAGACAGCAGGAACCCGTAGACGGCTGCTCGAGCGTGTTCGCCTTCTTCGGGCGACAAGTGCAGCCCCGTCGGGTAGGCGAAGCCTGTGAGGACGCTTGAGAGATAGGCGAAGACTTTGTAAGCCGCCGGCACCATTTCCTCGACGCCTTCAGCTCGGCCAGCCGTGCGCCAGACGTCGGCCGGGAGCCCTGCATCGCTGCCGCCATCGTCCGAGAAGGTGCTGTCCGCCGTCCCGATTGTCCTTGGCCGTCGCAGGCGGTGCTGCTGGATCTGGCGGATGAGCGCGATGAGCTCGACGAGCGGGCCGACGTAGTCGTGCAGGGCGCGGGTGTAGACGTGGATGAGCGGGTCGTAGAGGTTCTCGCGCTGGCACAGGCCGAGGACTTGGTTGAGGTCGAGGCTGAGTGGATCGACCCGCAGGACGATGCGCTCCACCGCGTCGAACTGGCGCCGCTCCGCATGGACAGCGATGAGTCGCTGCGTGACGCTTGGCGGCAGTGCGTGCATCGATCCCGCGAGGACGTACGGCTCAATCCGCTCGAGGAAGATGCCCTCGATGCCGTTCTGTTCGTACCGCTCGTACAGCTCATCGAACAGCCAGTCGGGGTCACCGAGCAGGAGGCACGCACGAACGCAGGTCCCAACGAGACCCTCGAACAGCTGCTGGATCGTCTCGCCGTCGGCGTGACTACCGTCGCGAAGGCGGTCCTCCGAGAAGACGAAGCCGAGCGATGCGTTCAGGATCTCGCGCAGCTTGGGCTCGAGGATGGCTCGGCGCTCGGCAGGATCGTCAGGTAGGGCGATTGTACTGGCGTCGACTTGACCTTCGAGGTAGCCAGTCATCGTATCGATCGCCTCGAGGATTGTTGCAGGCTGCATAAGGGCGAGGATGCGATCCGCCCAAGAAAGGACAGCGCCGGCGCGTACGTCCCCGTAAGCCTGCACGCGAAAAGAATCAGAACCGGGTTGAAGGGGAAGAGGAGGCGACGAACCAGCAGAAAGAGCTTGCGCTTGAAGGTCATAAAGCTGGCGGAATAGGCGAGCGTTTCCTCAAGCGAAAATATAGAGTCGAAGGAGGACGCGTACAAGTCGGAAGGTACGACGCTGCGAATGTCGTGAGCGTCCCTGCCGATTCGTTGACGGGTGATGAGGTCGAAGACGTCGAAGTGAGCGGCGGTGAGAACGATGAGGACCTGTGCAGAAGCCAAGTGAGCGATTGATAGACGAAGGATGCTCGTCTGTGCTCACTCGGTCGTTGTACCATCTCAGCGCGAGAACAGGACCATCGCACGTCCAACCTTCAATCTCCTCGAACCGCACTTCCGCAGGCGGCGGCGGAGGCTTGAGAGCTGAAACGCTCGGCCTTCTCGGTGGTGGCGGCGCACCGACTGCTCCGCGGACCCGGACGAGCCGCACCCGCGCGCCCCAAGCCCACGCCAACACCGGATCTTCTCCTGCCTCTGCATCTGCCTTCTCCTGCCTCGCCTGGCCACCTTCCTTTCCACCGTCCTCACTCTTCGTCCGCCGTGCACTTGGCCACCACGCAAGGACGCCTGTCACCGCGTACCCTCGCTCAACTTCTTCCTTCTCCTGCCCCTCGCCCTGCTTCTCCTCGTCCCATTCTCGCGGAAATTGCACGCGCCACCAGGTCCGCGGCGCGGGCTTGAGGCCGACGATGACGAGCTTCGTAGGCGTAAGAAGAGCGACGAGGGAGAGGGTGTCGGTCGAAGGGTGAGGTGCCGGGCCAAGAGGCAGGGGCGCCATGTCGAGGACGACGGACGGCTTTTTGCCAGCGGAGAACGTCGCAGGTCGCGGTGGGCGCGGAAAGGATGGAGACTTCGGCGTCGAGGCGGGAAGACTGGGACTGGCGGGAGAGGCAGGACGTGGAGAGTCAGGTGGTGAGGCGTGTAAGGCGTTTGGCGGGGCGGTTGCGGCGGTGGGTAAGGGCGGTCGAACTGGCGGTGCGCCGCTCGAAAGGACCGCCGCCGGATCAGGATACCGTCCGAGCATGCGGATGATGTCGGTGGAGGCGAGCATGAGCACTTTGCCGAGTGCGTGGTAGAACGCCAGGCCTTTGTCGTCGGACGAGACGATAGCCGTATGCCGCGCGCCGATGAAGCCGAGGTGACAGATCTTTGAGCCGACGAGGTGACCCTCCTTGCGGCCGGTCAGGACCTGCGGCAGGGTGACGGGCGCGACAGACCGCTGGGGCTGCGATGGCTTGAGCAGAGAGTAGAGGTGTATGGAACCGTTCTCGTGGCCGACCGCGACAAACGTATGGTCCTGCGAGACCGCCAGCGCCGTGACAGCTCCCGCTTCTTTGGCTGCGAGTGAGGGTGTCAGCGGACGCAATCTCCGCGTGCTGAGGACGACGCACCGATGCCCTCCGTCCCGCACACGCATCGCAAGTTCTGCCCAAAGTCAAACACCAGCACCCATCCCTTCGTCGTACCAATCGCAATCAAGCCGCTGACAGCCATAACGGTTGGTTGGCCCATCGCGCTCTTGGCGATCTGCTCAGCCTGTGAGAGGGCAGCTGCTCCAGCTGTCGCACCAGACTGCGGGTACACGCGTGCCGAGATGCGCTTGAGGGAAGACCACTTGACGGTTCGTGCGGGAGGCGAGATGCCGTTTGCTCGGCCGGCTGAAGACGCGTTCGACGCGGATGTGCCGGTTGGCAGGTCGGAGGTAGACGGAAGGTCGAAGAGGTTGGTGTAGGACGATCGGCGGGAGATGTTGTCGAGATTGGAGGTCGAGGGTGAGGCGCTGATTCCGCCTGCGAGGGGAGGTCGACGAGGAGGATTGCCGGCGTCGTAAGGGAACTCGAGTGCCGTGTTGTACTTCGAGCTGGAGACGAAGCGGTGCTTGTTCGGGAAAGACTGTGTCGAGATGGAGCGCAGGCGAGAGAAGGTCGGGTGGAAGGAGAGTCGTTGCGGCGTCTGGCTGGGCGAGTCAGGCATCGAGGCGAGCGAGCCGAGGGATGATCGTGCTCGTGATGGTCCACCTCGAAGCTGTCTGAGCGCAGGGAACTCGTCGTTCGAAGCGCTCGTCACCCTCGAGACGGCGGGAGAAGCCTGCGGAGGCGCGACATCGTCAGCAAGCGACTCGCCGGCGACTTGAGCGAGCGCCAGAGGACGCACAGGTGCTGGCAAGCCGTTTCCTAGTCCCCGCAAAGCGCCATTGACTGCCTCCTTCGCCAAAGAGTGGTGCTCCTCCTCGTCCTGCTTGTCGTCCACAGCTTCTCCCCGCGCCGTTCCAGCCTCGCTAGCCGTCGCATCACCGTCGCCATCACTCACAGCCGACGCTCCCACCAGCTCCTCCATCCTGCGCTCATAGCTCCCCTCCTCACGCTCCTCCATCTCCCCCTCGACCCTGTCCTTCCCACCATACACAAACTCGCCAAACTCGTCCTCCCCCTCGTCGTCCTCCCGACCTCGCACAGACTTGGTCGGACTATCGAGCACGTCGCGCAGTCTCGAGTCGTACGAATCTGTCGTCGTCTTGGGCTGACGCTGCGAGTCGGGAGGCGCGGGAGGAGAGGCGGGCGGGTCTGGCGCTGCAGAGTCGGATGGTGGAGAGGTCATGCGGTGAGGCGAGCGGGCGAGAAGAGCATCCGAGCGGAAGTGTGAAGTGCAAGAGCAAGGTCCCCTTGTCCGAGCGAGGAGGTGGGGCGCTTGCTCGCTTCTCTCCCTGCAGCGTTTTGGGTACTACGCAAGCTTCGTTACACGTCAAAAGAAGTGTGAGAGATCGTCCTACTCTGCGGGCGGAAGTGGGTACAGAAGGGGGATGCTCGACGAAGGGGTGAAAGCGAGGCAAGAGGGTGCACAGAACAACAGGAACGACGACGACCGCCAGTGTGGAAAGACGAAAGCAGAGTATGTATATAGCGAGGCCAAGTATCTCACGCCCGCTTCTCGTTCATGACCCACCTCCGGCCGAGGACTTGCTGGGTGAACGAGCACGACGACGACGACGCCGCCTCTTCACTAGTCGAGGCACCAAGACGCAAGCCGCCCATCTGCGCACCGAGAGCGTCGATGGAAGCCGGCGCAGTCTTGGGCGACGTAGGCGCCGAGACGGGAACGACTTCGACGCGAGCCTTTCCGCCCAAGACGGCCTTGACCTTGTCCGCCGAGAGGCCGGACGACGCGGGCGATCCGGAAAAGGCGTCCCAGAACGACGCCATCATCTTCTGCATGAGGGTCTGGCTCGCAAGGTGCGCGACCGAGGCGGACATGGCTTGTTCGCGCAGGGCGATGGCGTCTTGGTGCGAGAGAGGCGGGGGAGACGAGAATGCCGCGGGAGATTGGTACGCGAGGAGTTCGGAGGTAGTCGCCGAGGTCGAGGGCGAGAGCTTGGGCGAACGGAAGAAGGCGGGCTTGAAGCCTTGCGGGACGGGGAGGAACGCGTCGTCCTGCTGTTGAGGCTGCTGCTGCTGCTCCTTCTGCGCGGCAACGAGGCCCGCCGCGTTGTTCGCAAGCTTGCCGTACAGCGCCGCGCGGTTCTGCTCGAGCTGGTCCGGACGCAACCAGAACGGGTTCGAAGCGAAGAAGTCCTCGAACGTGCCCTTGGGCGTCTGCTGCGCCGGCTTCGCTTGCTGCTGCTGTTGTTGCTGAGCGGCGGAGAAGCCGGTGCGAAGGTGCGAGGTGAGAGCGGGCAAGTCGGCGAGCTGGTTCTGCGACAGTGCGTTCAAAGCGGGGTTGAACGACTGGTTCGAGAACGGCGAGGCGGCACCGCTCGAGGGAAGCTTGGGCGCCACACCATCGGCGAGAGGAGCGACGTCCGGGATGAGGGTCGTGTGTACGCTCATGAACCCGCCGCCGAGTCCGGGCGAGGCGGTCGACCATGCGCCGGTCGAGCGACGCGCGTGGGCTGAGACGTCCTTCGAGAGGTTCGGGAGCTGGAGCGCATTGGTCGACGAGACGGCAGCGCGGGTGCCGATGCGGCGCGTCGAAAGACCGGCAGCGGGAATGGACGACTCGACGTCTTCCTCCTGCTTGACGACCGCCGCACCCGTCGCAGCGGACGCCACAGCACGCGAAGGGTTCGTGCCAAGCCCAGCCGCAGCCGTACTCGGCGGCGCCGACAAGCTCGACAACTTGTCAAGGAGGTCCTGCCACTTCTCCTTGAGGGTCGCGACTTCAGTCTTGAGGCCCGAGTTCTCGGCGCGCATCACGCCGACCTCGTCACGGAGCGTCGCGATGATCGTATCGCGGTCGTGGATCTGCTCCTCGAGCGTCGTGATGTACTCCTTGCGGCGGTGGCGGAAGTTGCGGGCCTGTGCGGAACCACAGCGAGACCGAATCGTCAGTGTCTGTCTTGTCAAGAACCGTACGAGGTGGCAGCATGCGACGCACCGAAAGCTTGTTCCTCAACTGCCTCTTCTCCTTCGAGCTCAACTTGGAGTACTCCTCCGGATCGGGCTTGTCCGCCCACTGCGGCACCGGCGGAAGATGGCTATTCGCGCTCGTCTTGTGCAACGTAGCGCTCGCCAACTGCGCGACACTCCTCGCAGCTTGCTTCCTCGACGACGGGGGTTCCTCGGACGAGGCGAGACTCGAACGGGCCTTCTTCGCTGCGGACGGCTTGCGCGACGTGCGACGACCCTTGCGAGAGCCGGAGGTAGTCGCGACTGACCCGTCGGACGAGTAGAGCTCGTCTTCGTCTTCTTCCTCGATGACCGTGTGTGCGACGTTGCGCTTCGGGCGTCCCAATGCCGTCAGCTGTTGAGGCTGCGGCTGGGGCTGCTCGACTGGCTCCATGGGCGCGATGGGCAAGGCGGGAAGAGGCGGGAGAGCGGCGGCGGTAGGAAGCGCAAGCACCGGGTCAAAGGCGTTCGTCTCGGCAGGCGGGCCAAAGACGGACGGGTCGATGGCGAACCCGTCACCTGCGCCTCCTCCAACGGTGGTCGACGAGAAGTCGAGGTCGGCGAGGCTGAAGGGGCTGTGACCCGAGTTGCCGTCGGACGAGTGCGAGAAGGGCGAGCCGGGGATGGTTGGCATGAAGGTGGACGGGTCAAACGAGGTCGACGCCGATAAGGGGGAGAAGGCGTCGCCTGACGTCGAGCCGGCCGTCGAGGTCGACGGGGCGGACGAGACGCCGCCGAAGACAAAGGGCGAGGCGAGGTCGGTCGTCGGTGCGGACGAGGACGACGGCGGGAGCTTTGCGACTTCGGGCGCGAGGTAGTGGCTGCATGCGGCGCATTCGGAGCGTGTCAGTACGTGTGCATGCGAGGCAGGCTCTTGCGATCTCCAGGCGAAGAGCCCCCTGGTCCCGAGGCCCGGCCGCGAGGGTACGCCAGCGCGATGGCGACCACGCATCGCTCGTCCGGTGGCGCGCAAGCGAGTCCATCCATGCCATCGCCATTCGTGCAGTCCCAATATCCACCACCGAGCGCCGTCCGTCGCCGAGCGAAGGCGGTTCGAGCACCGTCGAGATGCGGAGTCAGCTGGAAGGGAGAGTGGCCACCCTGCACGCACCTGAAGAGCTCTGCAAAGGACATTCCCTGCGTGTCTGTGTCGCCAGGCTGGACGACGAGCGGGTCTGCTGCTGCGTTGTTGCCCGAGAGCTGGGCGAGCATGCCCTGTAGGCCCGAGAGGTCTGCGAGCGTTGTCGACATGCGCTGGCGGGGCTGGTTGTTCGGGTGTGTGTGGTTGTGAGAGTGTGCTGGAGTGTGTGTGAGAGTGTTACTAAGCAGAGCGAGGCAGAGTGAGCGGGTGAGAGGTTGAGAGAGGGAGAGGGCCGCGCAAGCTGCTCAAGTCGCTCATCGGCGCACTCTCAGTAAATCTACAGAGTACTGCACAATTACAGTGACATTCTCACGAGTCTATCGCGCCTGTTCTTGAAGCAATCAGACAAGTGCAGCGCGAGCGAGGGTTGCAATCGCCGCCCCTTCGTCTCGCTTGAAGTTGACATCGTACTCGCTCACCTCGCACGCAGCCAGGCGGGCTGGACGAGCATGTGGGCACGATTTAGACACCCACTTGACCCGCCGAGCTGACTCACCGCTGCCCACAGGCCCGCACCCGCTCCGTCGCGCCCGCAGGACGAACGAACCTCGCTCCTCGCGCGACCTCCGCAGGACAGGCCACTGAACCCTCGAGCAGCCTCATTTCGGCTCCACTACGGCACACACGAGTCGAGCGAGCATCAGGCGGGACAACCGAACGCCCACCGCCCCTCCCCTCCGTCCCGAACTCGCTCGCCCTCCCTCCTCTCGCACGACTCGGCACTCTCGAGCGCATCCGCCTCCTCTTCATCTTCAGCATACTCCCTACCGTCCCTCCCGCGGATCGAATTCGCCCACCTCCTCCTTCTCACACTCACGCTCCTCCTCCTCTGCGTCTTGCCGTTCGTACTCCTCTGGCTGTACAAGCGCCGCGTCGAATGGGATCCCTTTGGATTGGGCGTTGGAGCGTGGCTTGCGGCGGAAATGGGGAGAGAAGTCGTTTTCGAGGTGTTCACCTCGACGAGCGACGTCGAGCTCGAGGACGGTGGACCAGCGGATGAAGCGCATTGCCCTCCTCTTCCCGAACAGACCCTCGCACTACCCACCATCGCCCACTCGCTCCTTCAAGAACTCCTCCGCCTCTTCGCCCTCCACCTCGTCGTCCGTCTCCTCCCTCCCTTTCCCCCCTCCCCCTCTCCCTCTCCCTCTCTCCGTCCACCTCCGACCTACCCGCCCTCACTCCCGCCGCTCGATCCACTATTCTTCTCAGCTCTGTGGTTCGCACTCGGCTGGAGCGCGACGGAGATCGTTTGGAGTTCGAGGAGGCTGTGGAGGCAGTTGGAGTTGTATAGGGAGGTACTTGGTCAGGACGGAGGAGGGGAGGAGGAGGTTTTGAGAGGTGTGCCGCGGGTGCAGGGAGAGGAGGAGGAGGAGGAAGCAGGGCGGGAGGAATGGAGGTTTGGGAGGAGATGTATGGATGTTGCCGATGGCTTGCCGGAGCATCTCATTCATCGGCACTCGTCGAGCGACAACGGCGGCGACGACGACGATGGGCGACACAGGCATGACGATGAGCGAGATGGAGGGTTTGGCGAAGACGAGGACGACATGGACGACGAGGTCTTCCGGCTGCGGATGCGCGAGGTGCAGCGCGAGGAACTCGAGGCGCAGCTGGGCGTGCCATTGTACGAAGTACCCGTCGGAGTGATCTTTATCTGGCGTCTCGATTCGTGCGTCACCCTTTCTCGTCCTCCCCTACTGCCGCCGCGAGCTGACCTCCCTGGCCGCACAGTATCCTCCTCTCACTCGTCTTCACCCTCCTCCTCTCGCTTCCCTTCCGCCTGACGCCCCCAACACTCATAACCTTCTCCCTCTGGCCAACCTTCCTCATCGTCTCCTCCACGCACGCGCTGCTCGCCTGGCTCTGGCTCGCGAAGGTCAGGAGGATGGGAATCCCGAGCATCAGCTATGCTAGTCTGGTCGTTTTGGTGGGGTTGTTGTTTGGGACGTTGGGCGCTTGGGGGGTGTTGCAATGAGCGCGGGGGTTGTCGCTTGCTTCAGCTGTGCTTGCGAGAGATACGCTCCTGCTCTTTCAAACGCTAGAGAGCTTGCTCGAGTTGCTGCATAACCGAATCTAGTGCACGGACAAAGTCTACGCCTTCGTCTTCTCCTCCACGAACGCCCTCAAGTCATACTCATTCTCCCCCTCCTTCTTCTCCGCCACCCCAACCTCCGTAACAATCCCCTCAATCAAGCTCGCAGGCGTGACATCGAAAGCCGGGTTCCACGCGTTAGTTCCGGGCGGCGTAACCAGCACCGTCTCGACCTGAACCTTTTCGCCCTCCTTCGCGGGGGAGACCATCTGCCCCTTCGCGACCTTGGCGGGATCGACGACCCGTCCGCGCACCGTGCAGGCTTCCCAGGAAGGACGTTGCTCGATCTCGATTTCTCGCCCAGAGCGCATGGAGAGGTCGAGAGTGGTGAGGGGTGCGGCGACGAGGACGGGCACGGGAGGGTTAGGCGAGTGCGGGTGAGGGTGGTGAGCGAGGAGCGAGATCTGGTAGGTCGAGATCTTGTTGGCCGTGTCGCCGTTCGAGGCGATGCTGCAAAGAGGGAGCGTCAGAAAGCTGGTCCACTCAAATTGCACACACACGCGATTCTCCTGCTCAATGAGCCGACGACAAACGCGATGCGCACTCCGAGCGATACCAGGCATGCTCAGCGACTCACCGGTCGGCGCCCGCAACAAACAAATGCACCCTCTTCTCGCCCAACAACGCTCCAATAGCCGTATCGCACACCATCGTGTTCGGCGCACCAAGACTCGCCAACTCGACAGCCGTCAAGCGCGCGCCTTGCTGGTAGGGGCCGGTTTGGGCAAAGTAGGCGTGCTCGAGGCGGTTTTGCTTGTGAAGCGAGGTGATGACGCCGAGCGCGGTGCCGTAGCCCTGCGAAGTCGGTGCAGTGAGTGATAGTGATGGATAGGACTGCGCAGCAGAGCGTACAGAAGTAGCGAGCGAGCCGGTGTTGCAGACCTGGAGGGAACGCAGAAGTCAGCGAGCCTGCAGGGATACGCCTGCTACGCCTGTAGCATCCTGAACATCCGAGGCGCTGATACTCAAGAAGCTCGCTCACCGTAAGAACCGCAATCTTCTCGCCCTTCTGAATCGTCCCCTCCCGCTCAAGCTTCTCCAAGATCCACTTGGCGCCGTTCTTCCCAATCTTCTCGCACCTCTCCTTGTCCTCAACCCAGACACCGACCGCAACATCAATGACTTTCTTCGCGAGCGACTCGGCAGTCGCGCCCTGGGCCGACGCTTCTGCCTTTGCGGAGGCTTCGATGCGGGAAAGGGCTTCGCGGAGATTGACGGCGGTTGGGCGGGAGGTGAGGAGGTAGGCGGTTCGGTCGAGGAGGAGCTTGAGAAGCTCGGCAGGAGGGGCAGAGAGGGTGGCAGCAGGGAAAGAGGGGCAAGGACGGTTGTTGAGGAGGTTAAGGAGCTCTGCGGCGATTCCGAGCGAGGCGAGCGATGCGATTGCTGGTGCGCCGCGGATCTATGGATCAGCAAGAAAGGTGTCAGCGTCCTTGCAAGCCTTCAAAGAGCGCCAGCGAGGCGACAGACCTTCATCGTCTTGATCGCGTCGAAAGCTCCCTCAATCGTCGAGACCTCCTCCCAGACCTCCTGGTGGGGCAGTAAAAGCTGGTCGATGATCTCGACAGACGCCGTGTCGTAGAACGAGCGCCCGCCAGTAATGCGGAAGGCGCCCAGGACCGGTGCGTCGTCCACAGGAGTCGGGGACATGGCGTGCGTGCTGGGTGGGGCCTGGGTCTGTATGAAGTGGGTGTAGCGGATGCAAGAACGGCTGTGGGAGGGCTTGTCGACTGAGCACGGCAAGCGGAGCGATGGAGACGGAAGCAAGCCAACCTTCGCTTCCTCTCCTCCTCAAAAAGCTGCACGTGCGCCGAATCCGAAGGCCTCTCTTCCGCTCGCGTCCACGGAACGGTCCTCGAGGAATATCGTCAATGCGAAAGAGAGAAGGCTACGATGCGCCAACCACCTCTCCGCCGTGCCAATCCCGCACCGAGATGCCCAACTCTCCCCGCTCCTTCCGAATGATGTACCGTTCGAGCTGGTACGTCTCGTACGTCGTCTGTACCTGTAGCGTCAGCCGAAGACTCTCATGAGAAAGTAAGCGCCGGACGGAGGACTCACGCTCGCCAGCTTCGCCGCCTCGCGATGCTTCTCCCCCCTCATTGCCTCGATAGCGTCTCGCCGCGAGTTCCAGATACACGTCGCGAGATTGACGCCGACAAGGTCGTCGTCGATGGGTGCGTCGTTCTGCTCCGAGGCGGAGGGGAAGGGTGCGCCGAACCAGTACATAAGGATCTTGCGCTGCCAGGCGATGGGGACTATGTTAGAGCGGAAGCGAGCGAGCGAGAGAGAATTGCACGCACTGCGACAGCCTCCTCGTGTGCCGCCCTGTCCGCCTTGTACAGCCTCTCCGCCTCTTCCTCACTCAATCCTCTCCTTCTCCGACTCCTGAAAGCGACAACATACCACTCCCGCTCCGCTGCCCGCACCGTGCCCTGCTCGTCGTCTTTGAGGACGATCTCGGACCAATTGAACGCTTCAGCGTAGGGTACGACAGCGTAGAGTGGCGTGAGTGGGCGGAAGGCGTGCAGGGCGCGGTGGAAGGCGAGAGTGACGGGGTCGACAGCGGGTAGGCGGGAGTTGGTGTACTGTACGTTGGTGCTGGTGACGAGCGACCGGCTGTCGACGAAGGAGGCTGGGAAGAGCGAGAGAATCGGAGGGAGGTAAAGGAGGGGTTCGACGGCGGTGACGCTTCGCGTGCTGTCCAGGTCGGGGAGTGGTCGCTCGCGCAGCGCCTGGATGATCTCGTTAATCGTGCGCAGAGTCGGTTGGATCTGGATGTTGCGGTGAGCGGGACGGCCTGGGCGACCTGGACGCGAGGTAGAGCGATCGCGGTCCCTCGTCTGAGGCAGCGCAGAGCTGGCATATTGTAAAAGCCCAGCGGTAGCCATGGCAGGGTATGAGGAGTAGGGTCGGGAGGAGGGATAGCGAAGCGAACGACCCGAAAGGAAGTGAACAAGTGAACCCCTCGTCCACCCGTTTCGTCAAATCACGTCAAAGGCCTCGTTGATCGTACACCCGCCTCTTCTTGAGTCGGGTCCGTCAGAGGGCAAGGATTGCGAAGACGGACCAGTCGCGAGATTGCGTGACAGCCCCGAGTGGGCATGCCATTCGCGAGTGAGCAGCGCCCTTCAAGGCGCCCTCGGACTCGAGAAAGCCGAAGCGCTCTGCAGGCGTGCCGTCAAGCGATCGTGAGCCCCGTACACCGTCAAGCAAGCTTCATCAGTTCGCAAAGAGATGAAGCCGATCCTCCTCGAACGAGCCTCGCAAGCCCTCAAGACGCCTCCGAGCTCCGTTTCCAGTCTACTCGGGTCGCTAAGTCCACCACAGAAGTCGTGCAGGCGGGCGTCGAGCGTCGCGGAAGAGCCGGGATGACGTCGAGGAGGAGAGGGTGCTGGAAAAGCGAGGCGAGGAGGAGGAGGTTGCGGTCGATTCCGAGCGGGCTGTAGCCGTCTAGTAGCGTTGCTCAGCCCTTCAGGCGGGCCACTCAGCGAGCGAGCGTGACTGACGAGGTCAAAGGTTGTGGGGAGACCGAAGTTGCTCCTCCTCCTCCTCTGACCACACTCTCGCTGCGACGTGCTACAGCGACAAGCAGCTTATTCGACATGCCCGCCGACCTCGACTTGGCCGTGAACTGCGGCAGCTCGTCGATCAAGTTCTCCCTCTTCAACCGCTCGTCCCGCTCTATCGTCGTCTCCGGCAGCGCGTCCAACGTGCAAGGGGACTCTGCGGCTTCGTACAAGTTCACTTTCTCGGGCGAGGGAGGGAAGGAAGAGAAGCACGAGAAGGAGCTGGACAAGAACACGAGTTACGAGGACGTCTTCAAGGAGATCCTGCAGGACGTCACGGCGGAGAAGGTGCTTGGATCGGAAGGCAAGGCGCGGATTCACCTTTTTGCGCATCGGATCGTGCACGGCGGGACGGCCGACGGACCGATCTTGATCCGTCATGGCGACAAAGAGGAGAAGGAAGTCCTGGAGCAGATGGAGCAGGTTTCGTCCTTTGCGCCGCTGCACAACCACCATGCGATGTTGATCGTCAAAGAGTGCCTCGAGCGCTTGCCCGACGCGACGTCCGTCCTGTGCTTCGACACCCTCTTCCACCAAACGATCCCCCAGTACCGCCGCTTGTACGCCGTCTCGACTCCCGAACACAAGACGCCCGTCCCGCTCGTCAAGTACGGCTTTCATGGATTGTCGTACGCCAACATTCTGGACCAGATGGCGGAGGAGCTGAAGAAGCCGAAGGAGGAGATGAATCTTGTCATTGCGCATCTCGGTAGCGGAGGGAGTTGCTGCCTGATCCAGAACGGCAAGAGCACGCAGACGACGATGGGTGTGACGCCTCTCGAAGGTGAATCGACGCATCGTCTGTTCGCATCCGCTCCCGCTGACTTTCGCTTCACGCAGGACTCCCCGGCGGAACTCGCTCCGGCACGATCGACCCGAGCATGATCTTCCACCATACGCCCGACTGCTCCGACACCGTCAAGTGGTCCGGTCGCGACATCAGCAAGGCGGAGTACGTCCTCAACAAGGAGAGCGGTTTCCGCGGTGGGTCTGCGGTGCTTTCCTCTGCGCGACTCAAGCTGATGCCCGTTCGCATCGCAGCATTGTGCGGCACGAACAACTTTGGCACGATCACCTCCCGCGCGTTCCCTACGAGTGACGACAACCAGCCGACGGAGGAAGAGTTGCAGTCCGCGCGACTCACCTACGAGCTCTACCTCGACCACCTCCTCTCGTTCCTCTCGTCCTACATCACCTCGGTCTTTTCCTCTCGCACCAACTCGACGCTGGACGGACTCGTCTTCTCGGGCGGGATTGGCGAGCGCAGCGTGCGGCTGCGAAGGGACGTCGTTGAGCATTTCAGGTGGATCGAGGAGTTGGCTGGGACGCAAGGCGGGATCGACGACGAGAAGAATGCCGAGGGCAAGAGCGGGAGGAGGGAGATCACGAAGGAGGGGAGCAAGGTCCGCGCTTGGGTTGTCGAGACGAGCGAGGAGGACGAGATGATCCGGATGAGTGAGAAGGAGATGGACAAGGCTGGGCGGTGATCGAGAGGGAGGGCGGGGGACAAGCCAGCTGGTAGCGGTTAGAAGGATTGGGCAAGTTGGCCATGTGATTGTCCGAAACGAGAGAGCGTTTGGACAGCTCAGCCCAGATACTCGAGCGAGATCCCAGCGCAGGTTCAACGGCTCGACGGACGCATCGGTAGCTTCGGACTGGAGCAAACGCGATCCTCACATGCGCACAGCCTTGCACAGCACCCGCACCCACTCGTAATCGGCCTTGGTCGCGGGAAAGGGCTCGCTCAGTCCGAAGACGGTGCGCAAAAGCGGGTAGAGGTGCCGACTGCTGCTGTTGACGACCCTGTTGACGATGGCGAACCTCTCCACCCATTCCGGATAGAAGCCGCCGTTCTCCCAGTCGACTAGGCCGACGATGCGGACGACTCGCGCGTCGTGCACCGAAACGAGGATGTTGCCCGGGTGGAGGTCGCCGTGAACGGCGACGAGTGGTGCGGACCGGTCGACGCGCGACTCGAGTGCAGCCCAGCGATCCACCGTGTTTCCCGGCATCGCGAGGTAGCGCTGACGAGCGTGATTGACAATCTCGGCTGTCGACGTAAGGTTTCCAAAGGCGCGCGGTTCTTTGTTTCGCTGGCGGAAAGTGAAGGCGAAGGTGTTGCTGCCGTCGAGACTGCCGGCGATGGTTCCTGGAGGCGCTTCGAGCGAGTGCAGCTCGTCGAGCAGTTCGCGAAGCTGCTCGCAGACGGACGCATAGCCCGCCCTTGCGATGCGAGGCCAGGCCTGGTCCAACGGCTCGCCGACGATCCGCTCAAAGTAGAGAAAGGTCGAGTCGCTTTCTTGTACGGCACCGTAGACCTGCGGAGACAAGGCTGGTCAGCGGAGAGAGGGCCTGTCTTGAACCCGAATGGTGCGCACCTGAGGGACGGGTACTGCCGTTCTGCTATCGACGTACGCTGCCATGTCAGCCTCCGACCGCGTGATCCCGGGCCCGCCTTTCACGACCATTGCATTTCCTCGGTAGTCGACCGCCCACACCAAGTCGCTGTCGCAACCTCCTATGATGGTTCCTCGGGCACGAACGTGAGCTGGCGACGGGAGAGCGACGAGGTGAGTTGCTCCCTCGATCGAGAGTAGCTGGTCCGGGGAGACAAGTTCGCACTCTACAATGGAGAGCGTATTGTGATCAAGCAATCGCGGTCGGGTGCAGGAACAGGAGGGCAAAGTTGATTTCGGGGAGGAGGAGGACGCGGAGGGTGAGGACGAGCCGTGGGGACAGGACGCTGTGTCTCGCTCAATCAAGGTCGTCTTTACAAGCCATGGCAGAGCGATCAGGATCTCGGCCAGCATAGTCGATGTGTGAGGGGTGGGAGAGCAAGGTTGACTGATGAAGCGAAGAAGGAGTTGACGGTGGTCAGGCAGATTGGGACACCTTGAGCCAGCTGGACTGTGCCTCGTTACGCTGGACTGGCGGACCAGGCGCGCGAAGCAGAGGAAGTGAATAGCAGGAGACGAAGAGAAGAGGAGGTCGGCGGTCGCCCCTCCGCACGCTGCTCCGCCCCGACTCCGCGTGTGACTCTTTTGTTGTGGGTGCGGATGTCGATGGCATGTGTCAGCAGTTGATTCCACGACACGCTGCAACCTTCGCAAGGCGACGGACTCCCCGCAGGCCGAGCGAGGTGACGACGGCAGCTCTCTCGCTCTCCTCCCTCTCACTCTTGCACCAGCGAGCGACTCACACGAGCACAGTGAGCACACACGCAACCCACACACACAGCCCAAACGACTCACGAGCGTCGTCTTCTCTCTCCCCAGCTTGATCGCTCTCCCGGGCCCCACTTCTTTGCACTCTCGCCTCCCATCCCACGTTCACATCGCTCGTACAAAGCCACACACGATGGCAGACAACGCAGACGCCCCTCCCCCGCCCATCGTGCCCTCGCAGTACGCCCAGCACCCGGACGCACCTCTCTCGAGTCTCCCCGTCCAGCTCGACCCGAGCCAGTACACCGCCAAGTACCCCGCCAAGCACCTCGATGCCATTGTCGCAAACTGGCGCTTGTCGTGCTACTTGGGAGCGTCGCAAATCTTCCTCCAGTCGAACGCGATCCTCTCGAGGAAGTTGACCAAGGACGACGTCAAGCCTCGGTACGTCCCCTCCGTATCAGCCAACCTTAATAGTACCTGTAATGGGTGCGCAATCGTGTCTGGAGGACCAGGAAGTGCCGCGGGACGAGGAGGAAAGCGGCAGGGTTCGACGAGGCGGTTGACGGATCTCCAGCCTAAAGAGACTTCACTGGGCATTGCGCTGACCGTCCTGACGTGTTTAACAGACTTTTGGGTCATTGGGGCACAACTTTTCGTTTTATTTCCTCTTCTCTCGACGCGGCTTGGCGGTCTTCGCGGTCGAAGGCGACGGCCGGGCGGAAGACGCGGCTCGATTCTCGCGCAGGAGGGCCCACACTAACCTTGCTGGCGACATACAGGGAGGTCTTTCGCTCGCCTACGTCCACACTCAAGCGCTCATCCGCCGCAAGGGCGACGAGGAAGGCGCCGAACCCAAGATGATCTTCGTCACCGGTCCGGGCCACGGCGCACCCGCCATCCTCTCGCCTCTCTACATCGAAGGCGCCATCTCCAAGTTTTACCCCCAGTACCCTCTCAACGAGCAAGGACTCGAGAAGTTTGTCAAGTACTTCTCGTGGCCGGGAGGATTCCCTTCGCATGTTAACGCTGAGACGCCGGGATGTATCCACGAGGGCGGAGAGCTCGGGTATGCGCTTGGAGTCGCGTACGGATCGGTCATGGACCGCCCGGAGCAGATCTCGGTCGTTGTTGTCGGTGACGGCGAGAGCGAGACGGGACCGACCGCGACGGCGTGGCAGTGCGTTCCCTTTCCTCCTTTTACTTTTAGCTGTTCGTCAAATGCCCTGACGGAACGCGAAACCGACAGCTCGCACAAGTGGCTCGACCCCGCCGAGTCAGGCGCCGTCCTCCCCATCCTTCACGTCAACGGCTTCAAGATCTCGGAGCGCACCATCCCCGGCGTGCGTCGCTTCCGTGGCAGAACATGCGGGTGGTGGCGAGACTGACAAGGTGATTCCTGCGCAGACGATGGACAACGTCGAGCTTTCCCTTCTCTACTCCGGCTACGGTGCGTCCGCTCGTCGCCTCCTCGGCCTCTCCGTTGGCCAGTCCATGAGACTAAGCTGATGCATGCATGCGAACGCATCGCAGGGTACCAGGTCCGCTTCGTCGAATACAAGGCGCAGGGCGAGGCGCACATGGGTGGCAACGATCCGGCCGACCGCGTCCTCCACGAGGATATGGCTGCCTCGCTCGACTGGTACGCTCGAAATCTTCTTCCTCACCGCATGTATCGCACAGCGCTTCCTTCTTCCGCCGATTCGCGACCTTCGTAACTCGACGCTGACGCTTCCTTGTCCGCTTACAGGGCCTACGGCGAGATCCGCAAGATCCAGAAGGCTGCTCGCTCCGGCGGCAAGCCCATCGACAAGCCTCGCTGGCCGATGATCATCCTCCGCTCGCCCAAGGGATGGACCGGCCCGTCGAGTGAGCACGGCAAGCAGCTCCTCAACAAGTGCGTTCCCGGGCCGCCCGATCGCAAAACATTCAGCTGACCATCGGCCGCACGCAGCTTCGCCTCGCACCAGGTCCCCCTCCCCGACGCCAAGACGGACGACGAAGCGAACGCCTACCTCGAGCGCTGGCTCAAGTCGTACGAAGCCGACAAACTCTTCGACTTTTCCGAAGACAACCTCAAGCGCGGTACCATCTTTGACCAGCTCTTGTACGAGGCGCTCCCGAAGGATATGGAAAGGCGCCTTGGGTTTGTCAAGGAGACCTACAACGGTTACAAGCCCCTTGAGCTGGACGACTGGAAGAAGTACGGCTTCAAGAAGGGCGAGGATGTCTCGTACGTCGAGTTCACCCGTTGCGCGGTGTCGAGCGGACGAACTGACCGTTTGACGAAACGCGTAGGTGCATGAAGGCGATCGCTGGCTACCTCACCGACGTGATCAAGCGCAACCCGAAAGAGTTCCGCATCTTCTCGCCCGACGAGCTCGCCTTGAACAAGCTCGATGGCGTCTTCTCCGTCACCGAGCGCAACATGCAGTGGGACCCGGAGACGGCGCACAAGGGCGGCAGGGTCACCGAGATGCTTTCTGAGCACTCGTTGCAGGCCTGGTTGCAGGGGTACACCCTCACGGGCAGGCATGGCGTCTTCCCCTCGTACGAGGCCTTCCTCGGCATCGTCGCGAGTGCGTCCGGAATTCGTCTCTCTTTCGCTTCTCCGACCGCCGACTGACAGCGTCTTTGGGCTTTGCGCAGCCATGACCGTCCAATACACCAAGTTCATGAAGATGGCGCTCGAGACCAACTGGCGCGGACCGACCGCCTCGCTGACCTACATCGAGACCTCGACCTGGTTCGCTCGCTTCCTCGCCTTCTCCGGCTTCGGCAACCTGATCTTTCGCTCTTCGCAGGACCCGCCAGGAGCACAACGGCTACTCGCACCAGAACGTGCGGTGTCGACCCTCTCCTTAACTTGCGCCGGAGACTAACGAATCTTTGCTGCGTCGAAACAGCCTGGCTTCGTCTCGACCGTCCTCTCGCTCCCCTCCCAGCTCGCCCGCGTCTACTTCCCCTCGGACGCTAACACGAGCGTCAGCGTCATCGCACACTGCTTGCGCAGCAAGAACTGTGAGCCCGCCCTTCCCCGCCTCTCTTGCTTCGCGAGATCGAAGCTTACGGGACTATATGCGCAGACATCAACCTCATCGTCGGCACCAAGGCTCCTACGCCTGTCTACCTCAGCGTCGAGGAGGCCGAGCGTCACTGCATTGCCGGCGCTTCGGTCTGGGAGAGTGAGTCTCGATCCGTTTCCTCGCTGCAGGCGGCTCTGTCAGCCGGCGATGACGCCTTGGGAACAACGAGAAATAACTCCATTCACCCTCGTCCCTCTCGCACTTCGCGCTCACAGACTACTCGGTCGACAAGGGTGTCGACCCGGATGTCGTCCTCGTCGGTATCGGCTACGAGCTGACGGAGGAGGTCATCCATGCCGCGGCGCTCCTCCGCAAGGACTTTGGCACCGAATTGAGGGTCAGGGTCGTCAATGTCGTCGACTTGCTCGTCCTCGCGCCCAAGGGCGACCACCCGCATGCTCGTGAGTTGAGCCCGCTTCTTGGTTCGCTCCTGATATCGCTGACACGGGCGACGTCCTGCAGTCGACGAAGCCGGCTTCAACTCACTCTTCCCGCCCGGCGTTCCTATCATCTTCAACTACCACGGGTGCGCTGGCGCTGCTTCCGACTCTCACCTTAGCTCCTGCTGACCTGAGTCTGCCGCGCTACTTGCAGCTACGCTGGCCAGCTCGCGTCGCTCCTCTTCGACCGCAAGCACTCGGTCGGCCGTTCGCGCATGCGCATCTTTGCCTACTCGGAGCAGGGCACGACGACGACTCCGTTCGCCATGATGTGCTGCAACAACACCGACAGGTTCAACCTCGCGGCCGAGGCGCTCGAGATGGGTGCGCCCAGCTCCTTCTATCGCTCGTCTCGACTGCCAGTTCACCTGACCTCTCCTCGCACCCGCAGTCACCCTCAACCTAACGACGCAGCACAACATCACCGGCGAGGAGAAGCGCCACCGCGTCGGCTCGGTCGTCGCGCGCGCGCACGAGCGCATGTCGTTCTACAAGCACAAGAAGGTCGTCATGATGCGCTACGCTGCCGAGACTCAGAAGGGTGCGTTGAACAGGTCTGACTGCCGTTCTCCAAAGGCTGTACTGACCTTGTTGTCGTGTGCAGACCACCCGGAGATTGGCGAGGTTGCCACGCTTGCCGAGCAGTAAGAGCGCGACGAGCAACCACCGCCTTTCCCTCCTTCACCTCTCTCGCTTTTCGCCCCCGAAACCCAGACCTCCCTCGCTTCTCGCTTGTTCATACGGTAGACCCTTTCGATGCAAGATACAGTCTGTGCGGCCTTTCCCTCGCAGCGACGGCGGGACCTTCGCAAGATGCGGCTTCTCCTGCTCGGCCGTTCCCGCTCTTCCGTGTCTCCGGCGGACCACATCGCTACAGAGCGGGCATTGTCCTCGCTGAATCGTACGCGCCCTTCGACGTTCCCGCCGGACAATTGCGACGCCGCGGCGTCCTCTTTGTTCTCGTTTTCTTGGAGTCCATCGCAGCCTTCATTCGCAATGGGCTTGAAGGGGGACGTTCGTTGTTCTGCGTCGTCGTTGCTAGTTACATCGCGCTGCTGCGCAGCTCTTTCAGTCCGACAAACACAACTCCGTCAGAGGCTCTTTGCGCGGTTCTCAAACCCGCACAACCCGCTGACAACTCCCGCTGACCGCGGTTCGGCGAGCAGATCAGGTTCAGCAGCGAAGTCTCTGGTCACAAGCTTGGGTAATGAAGGGACGAAGGTGCCGGGATCAGGACCTGGTCTGAGTCGTCGCTGGATCGGCGGGCTGCGCGCAAAGTCTATTCGTCTTGAAGAACTAGCGTCGTAAAGCGTCGAATATGTACGGCGCATTCGTAAGGCTGGGTAAGGAAGCCGGAGAAGTGGAGAACGGAACAAGCCTCCTCGCTGCGGATGGACTCCGGCGAGGACGCCAAATCGCTTCCTCGCTTCGGCGCGGGTATTCGCAGGCTTCGTCGACGACGCAGGCGGACTTGCAACGACACAGCGCAGGTGGAGAGGGCGCAGAGACCCCGCTCCAGGGCGAGAGGTGCAGCCCGCAGTGGGAGGAAGAGGACCTTCCACTTCCGTCGTCGTCGTCGAGGAAAGAGCGAACGCTCTCGATGCTCGCTTGCTGAACTGGGCACGCCCCGACGTCGCATGGGCACCCGCCAGCCTCGCGCTCTCCCGCATCCGTCTCCTCCTCGTCGTTGAGAACCCCGGCGCTCACCAACTGTACCCGTCTGAGCTACCAGAGCGGCCACCGCTGCGCGAACAGACGTGTACTCACCCACCAGAACCGCCCCGAACGCGGCAAAGCCCCGCCCGCCCCGTTCCCAGCCGTCGCCTCCTCATGGCGTACGAGGCGTCCGCGGACGACAGCTGGGCCCTGTACGCCCAGGAACAGCCCGAGCAGCGCGATCCCGCCCAGTATCAGCACCATCAGCCCGTCTACTCCCTCCCCGCGCCTGACAAGGCGTATCTCGCCAACTCCGCTCTCGATGTGACGGACGGGAGGAGCGGTGCTGGCGTCGCGCCCGAGGAGCTGTACGGGTACGCGACGACGGCAGAGGGATATGCAGCACCGGCGTACACCTTTGCGCCGCAGCGAACGGCGAGCTACGGGACGACACCCTCGCCTGGTCTGCCCGCCCTCTCCCCGTCCTCCGCAACCTCGTTCTCCTCGTCGTCTTTCTCCTCGACGGTCTCGCCGTTGCATCATGGATCCGCTGCGACGACGCCAGAGCTGCAGCGAAGCGCCGGGCTTTTGCCGCCGGCTCGGATAGACGGCGGAGGAGGCGAATACGCTTCCCAGCAGGATGTTCGGGACGGAGGCTTCTTTGCGTCGGCGCAGGACTCGTACATGCAGCAGCAGCAGTGCGTTCAGTACGAGGGCCAGGCCGCGCAGTACCCGCCGTCGTCTTCCGCTTTTGTCCTTCCTCCCGCCGCTCCCTCGACACCTCGTCGGCATCCTCCCGCCTCGCACCTCTATCGCTCGCCTTCCGCATACTCAGTCGCGTCGACGCCTACAACTTCGCCTTACCATCGACCGTCGACGCCTCGTTCCGCCGTCGCTCGTCGCCGATCTGTCGACGGGCTGGCCGAATCGCCGACGAAGCGAGCATCACCTCGCAAGGTACAGGCGGTGACGACGTCGGTTGACGCGAACGGAACCCCGACGAAAACGGTGAGGCGCGTCGCCAGGCTGAGCATCGAAGTCCCGCCGGCGGCTCAGCGAGGGATTGCTCCGCTCTCCGCTCCGCCCAATTCACTCCCGTCGCCTGCGTGGTCAACCGCACCTCCGCCTCTTCCGCCTCCACCCTCTTTTACCGTGCAGTCTGAGCCCATCGCGTCGTCGTCCGCGTCGTCGCCGGCGGATCAGGTCCTTTCGGAGGCAGCGGTTCGAGAGGTCGAGCAGCTCCTCGGCGAGCTAGGCCCGATTCTGGAGACGGGCGTCTACGAGCAGCCTGGAGGTGCGAACGACGAGTCGTACATCCAGCTTTCGCCGCGAGCTCAGGCGAGAATGCCGGGCGGATCGTACGCTCAGGACGGACGGGCGCCGCCGATGAGCATATCCATCTCTGGCGTCACGCTGGGCGAGGAGGACCTCGCGCTTCTCGAGGACCCATCGTTGACCAGCGACGTGTACGACTCGCCCTCTCGGTCGTACCCGGCTTCAGCGTCTGCATGGCGGACTACTTTCGACCTTCCTCCCGCTCCGCCTCCGCCTGTCCCTCCTTTTCCGCACGCTCACTACACCTCGTACAACGACCAGTACCTCTCGCCAACGAAGCCGGTCTCGACGTACACTCTCTCCCACTCGTCCAGCATGAACTCGCTCGCGCTTCCGCCGAACCCGCACCAGCGCGCCTATTCCGCTCAGGGCCACCTCCCCCGATCGGTGTCTTCTCAAGATCCCTTCTTGTCGTCGTCTCCGCCTCGCGCCTCTTCCTCCGTCCTTCGCCGCAGGTCGAGTGTCGACTCGGTCAACCTCGCCGCTTCGTACGGCCGCCACCCCTACCCTCCGCCTCTTCCTCAGCAGCAGCAGCCGCCGCAACAACCCTTCCCCGCCGTCCTGCAGCCTGCACCTCCGCAAGGCGTCGCGAGACCGTCGACTCCGCCGCCTAAACCTGCGCAGGCGAACAGCAAGTCGCCTTCGAAGACGACACCGAAGCGCAAGCGTGGCTCGCCAACTAAGACGAAGCAGCCGGCTGCCATGTTTATCAACTACTCGTCCCAGGATGCTGTGAGTCGCGCTCTCTTCTCCTCGCATCTCGCTACGTCCTGACCTCCTTTCGCCCTCGCCTCGCAGAAAAAGCTCTTGAGCGGTGTCGCGCCTTCCGGCTCGTCGAAGAAGAAGCGTGAGGAAGACGAGGCTCGCCAGCGAGCGCTCGAGGAGGCGCAGGCGCGCGGATACGCAGCCGGCATCGCATCTGCCTCACCCGTCTCTGTTGCGGCGTCGAGGTCCTCCAGCAGCGGCAGCGCCGTCCAGTGAATGCGTCGTTATACCCACATAGAGTTCTCTTGTTCCTCTTGCATATAGGCCTTTCGCTCTCGTTGTTCTTGTAGCTCTCCAGGTCAGACTCTGCGCATCACCTCCATCCCTGCATCTACTTCGTTGGCTCTTATCCTGGTGACTTGAGAGGACAGGACTACTGTATGCTAATGCAGGAGAGACCTCAAGACCGACAACCAGAGACCGAGAAATCTACCGCCCCTTGCCCTTGTCCTCCTTCAGACTCGCAATCAAGTTCAGCACGAGCTCGCCTCCGTCCTTCGCGCCGTCCTCAACGAGCTTCGAGTCGGCGTCGAGGCAGAAGTACGCCACGCGGTTGGCCTGGAAGCGGACGACCTCAAGCCCGTCGACACTGGGCGGCGCCTCGGTCCCGTTCTTCGCCGCCTCGGCCTTGCGCAGCTCGACGACCTCGTTCGCGCGCTTCAAGCTCGAGCGGACGACGTCCCACACGGCCGGCTCGATCAACGCGCCTTCGACCACCTTGAGCGACTCGGGGTTCAAGTCGTCGAGGTAGGCGTCTCCGAGCGCGCCGGGGTTGTCGCTCTTGAACAGCCGAGAGAAGAGGCGCGTCTCCTTGACCTTGACAGGCGAGTTGTGCGCGGCAGACGACGCGACCCAGTGGATCCAGCCCTTCGGCTTGAAGCCCTCCTTCACGTCCTCGTCGTATCGGCAGACGATGTGCGTGACGGCGCCCGTCGCAGGGTCCGTCTCGTGCGAGACGTACGAGATGGGTTTGGGAACGTTGAGCAAGCCGACGGTCGCGCCGGGTGCGAGGCGGAAGAAGTCCTTCGAGGCTTCTGTCCGGAAGTCGTCGGCGTCGATGAAGACCTCGCGAGTGAAGGGGACGCGAGCAGTGCCCATCGACGGGTCCTTCGGGTGCAGAGGCTTCTCGACCTCGAGGAAGAAGTCGGCGGGAAGGTTTTCGAGGGTAACGCGGATGGGGCGGAGGATGAGGTTGAGCCGGGGAGTCGTCATCTCGAGGTGCGAGCGGACGGTCTGTTCGAAGCGCGAGAGCTGTACGAGCGAGTTCTGCGTCGAGACACCGAGGCTTGAGACGAAGGTGATGATGGCGGCGGGAGGAACACCGCGACGCTTGAGCGCGACGAGCGTGTGCAGTCTGCCGAGAAGGAGCTAAGTGACCAGCCGAGCTGGCACCAGCGAAAGCAACACGCACCGAGGGTCGTCCCATCCGTTGACGTGTCCCTCCTTGACGAGCTTCAGCAGCTTTCGCTTCGAGGTGATGGCGCCCTCGAGCGTGAGCCGACCGTACTCGGACTGACGGGGCTTGTACACCTCGAGCGCGTCGCAAAGCCAATCGTAGGCTGTTCGTGCGGCGATGAACTCGACTGTGCAGAGTGAGTGGCTGCGCGAAGCAAGGAGTCAGTGTCAGATTTCGAGGCGAAGAGGCGCAAACGCACGTGATGTTCTCGAACGAGTCGCAGAGGCAGTGAGTGAAGTCGTACGTCGGGTAGATGCACCACTGCGTACCGGTGCGGTGATGCGGCTTGCCCAAGACGCGGTACGCAATGATGTCCCACATGGTCGGGTTCGAGCTCTGCATGTCCTGCTTCATGCGAAGCACCATCTCGCCCGGCTTGTACTTGCCCGCCTTCATGTCGGCGAACTCGGCGAGAGACTGCTCGATCGGCTTGTTGCGGTCCTTTGACTCGTAGCGCGGGCCGTGGTCCTTGCCGCCTCGCTGGTTCGCAATCTCCTCGGCTGCGGGCGCGCGATGCGAATAAGTCTCTGCGCAGGTGAAGAGTGAACACACCGTCGCAACGCACCGCTGTCATCGCTCGTGTACGCCAAGCCCTTCTTGATGAGCAAGCAAGCGAGGTCGTAAAGTTCCTGGAAGTGGTCGCTCGAGTGGGTGATCTGGTACGGCTCGTAGCCGAGCCAGCGGACGTTCTCGAGGATCTTGTCGAAGTAAATCTGCTCTTCCGCTTCGGGATTCGTGTCGTCGTAGCGGAGGTAGCAATGGCCTTTGTGGAACTTGGCGTAGCCGAAGTTGACCGCGATGGCCTTCGAGTGCCCGATCTGCGAGCAGGAAGATGCCGGTGAGCAAACACTTTCCCGCACCACGCGGACGAGGCAGCCACGAAAGCAGCGTCGGACGCACATGCAAGAAGCCGTTCGGCTCAGGCGGGAACCGCGTAAACACCTTTCCTCCGGTCCAGGCCAAGTGTTCCTTCATGCGCTCCGCGATCGGCTGCTCGTTTCCTCCGGGCTTGTGCAGGCGCGAAAGCCAGCCCTGCTTAAACATGTCGTCGGGGGACTCGGCGGCGGGGAGGGAGGCGGTTGAGGTCGAGGCTTTGGGGGCCTTGGACTCCTGTGCATCGCAAAGGATCTCGCCATCAGTCAATTGCCAGAGGTGGGACAGTTGAAGGAGAGCAACAGCAGGACGCACCTTCTTCGCCTTCTCCGCCTGGGCCTTCTTCGCATCCTCCTTCTTCCCAAACTTCTCCTCAAATGCCTTCTCCGCCGCCGCCTTCAGCTCGAGCGGGTTGACCCACTTGAGCGAGTCGTCCTGGCGCATCAATCCGCTCGTCTTGCTGAACCCGCCCCAGCCCGACTTGGAGACTTCGGCGTCGTGCGTCGTGAGATAGGCGCGGACTCGGCGGTCGAGCTCGTCCGGCGTGATCGTGAAACCTGTGAGATGAATGAGCGTTAGTGAGCGGGTTCCACGCGCGATAGACTGAGGAAAGATAGGGACGAACCAACTCCGCATGCTTCGTCGAACGCTGCCTGGTCAACCGGAGGGACTGTCGCTCCCATGAACTTGATTGCCGCTGCAGAGAACTCAATCTCGTCAGCCAACGAGCCCTTCGCCCTCCAGCGAGCATTCACGCTGACCCGTAACCTGATCGCTCTTGGACAATCTGCCATCCCTGACCGCCTCGACGATGTACAGCCGCGCCTCGTCCGACAGCGCGTGCCCATCCTTGGCGACCTGGAGCACAAGTGCGCCCTGCTTGTCCTCGAGCGGGCTGGTTTCGAGTCCGGCGGCCTCGAAGAGTGAGCGGGCGGCGGGAGCGGTCTTTGAGCGTGCGGTCTCCTTTGCGCGCTGTTCGGAGAGGCCTGCGCGCTGGAAGAAGGCTGCGAGCTCGTCCATTTCGGGCGAGAGTGCAGCTGGTGCCATGGTTGACTGACGAGAGCAACTGTCGAGGGGAAGGCAGACGACTCGACGAGGTGAAAGTCGGCAATCCAATGCCAGCGACGAAGTCGAGTCATACGTAATCAACACGAGTGTATTGCGTACAAGTACATTCAGCCAGCCATGCACTCCGAGCGAGTTGAGGACTCCCTTCTCCTCCTCGCCGCAAGGTCAACTTCAACGAGTTCACCCTCGCTCGCCGCCTGGGATGCTGCGGACACGCGCACGACACGCAGCGTGCACCTGCTCACGGCTGAGCACGTCGGCACCGCGCCTCGCCCGCCGCACGCTCTCCTCGTCCTCGACTCCGTCCCCACAACCTCGCTCGTCTCAGCCCGCTTTCCTCCTGCGTGACTTGCGACAACTGCTGGGACGGTACCCTCTTCTGGACGAGGCATGGAACAGCAGGCTTGAACGGGCGGTCGCGGACCTCGAGCGGGCGAGAAAGGCTCGCATTGCAGGTGCGTTCGTCCGACTTGATCCGTCTGCTTGAGGTGGTCTATCTGCCTATGGCTGACTTGAAATCGTCGGCCAACTGCAGTCGTTGGCGACCAGCAGAGTGGCGCGGCGGAACTCGTCTCGGCGCTCCTCGACGACCCGCTCGCGAGCAACGCGGATGTCACGGTTGCGCTCGAGGCGCGGCGGCTAGGAAAGGATGCGCCAGAAGCGTTGGTCATCTCGTACGAGCTCTCCCAGCCGAATCCGCTGCTCTTCCGCTGACACTGTTGCGTGGCAGATACGGCGAGGACGGCAGCGCGACTTCGAGCGAGGTCAAGGTGCCTTCGGCATGGCTGCGGGAGATTCAGGCAGAGGTCGTGGAAGTGCAGCATGGAGGTGCGTCTGCGGGAGCGGTGGCATTGGCGGCGTGTGCTGACTTCCGTATCAAACAGACGTCCCGCCGCTCGAATCCTCCTTCTCATCCCTGCACCTCTCCGACATCGTCGTCCTCGTCCTCTCCGATTCGTCGCTACTCTCGTCCGTACCCGCCCAGACCGTCCTCTACAACCTGCACCAAAAGCCGAACCTGCTCGTTGCGCTCAACTGCCCCGACGCGACTCCTTCCGCCTCTGCATCTCCCCTCCGCACCCTCGAACACCAGCTCAAGACGCTCTTCCCAGCCGACGAGGAACCTCGAACGTTTGTCATCTCGACGAAGCAGGCGCTAGCGGGTCTCGAGGCGCTGCAACCCTCTGAACCTGATCAGCCGCCTTCGTACGATGACTTCCAGCACAACTACCTCGCCTCGCAGATTCCCCACATCCACCAACTCCTCACGACCGCCATCACCTCCTCCACCTCATCCTCCGTCCCGACACCCCTGCAGACACAGACGGCCGCCTACGTGCTCTCCGCCGCCCTGCACCGCGCAGCCTTTGCAGGCGCTCAAATCGCCGACTCGCTCACCTCCGCCTCTTCGTCACTCTCCGCGCTCTCGCAACAGACCGACGAGCAATGCGCGTCCCTCCGCACCTTGCTCGGCGTCGAACCTGCAACTGGCCTGATGCGCGTCCCCAAGGACGAGCTTGCGGGCGCCGCAAAGGCGCTCGACGAGCTGTTCCTCACCCGTCTCGCGTGGTACAAGCTGCCCTACCGGGTGGACGACCTCGCAGCCGAGATCGCGCTCGTCGTCGAACGGACGTACCTGCCTAAATTCGAGGACTCGCTTGTCTTCGCTTCCGGCAAGGCACTGTCGCTCGCGTCCGTTCTTGGCGACAAGACCGACAAGGTCCTCTCTTCGCCGCTCTTCTCTCTCTCTCCGACATCCGAAGCCCTCTCTCCCAGCGCAAAACTCGCCTCGCTCTATTCTCCCACCCTCCTGAACGCAATCGACCAAGCCGCGCGCGACGCCTCGACCGCCCTCTCTTCCACTCCAACATCCCTCTCCTCCGCCGTCACCCACCGGCGCAACCAGATCACCTCGCCCGGCGGACCCGTCGAAGCGCTCCAACGGCGTGCACAGAAATCGATCATCCGTTCATCAACTCTCGCACTCTCTTCCACCGGTCTCGCCATCGCATCCGAACTGTCGACCTTCGCCGAGCTCGGCACGAACTTTGGCGCTGGCTTGCTCGGCGTGACGATCTCGTGTTGGTGGCTGCAGCGCGGATGGGAGAAAGCCAAGAAGCGGTTCAAGAAGGACGTGTTTGAGCGCATCACGGGTGGGTTGGAGGAGGATTTGGGCGTCAGGGCGGCGAGGTTGACGGAACGGGCGGCGTTCAAGGCTAGGACGACCGTGGCGATGGCGGGCGAGGTGGTGATGCGGAAGCAGGGAGAGTGGGAGAAAGTCAGGAGGCAGTTGGCGGAAATCGAGCGGCGGAGGAAGGAGATGGAGGGCACGCAGGATGCGCCGGAGCGGACGCAAGGGAAGAAGGCTGCGCGGGCTTGAGACGGTCCTTGCAACTCGCAACACATGCATGCGCTTCTTGAAGGAGTCGCGAGGTCCGATAAGCGATCGTAAAGAATGCAAGGAGAGGAACACGAGAGGGTAAACGGACGACTAGGGTATGGCAGCGCTTCTACAAGTAGCGGATTCCGGTTGTGCACGGTGGCTGATAGCTTAAGGGTCGGAGACGGTCGAGCGGTCGCTCGTGTCGCTCGCGCGGCGGTCGATGCGAGGCTTGTCCTGAGCGTCGGAAAAGCTGTTGCGCGGGCTGCGAGTCACGGGCGTCCCGAGGATCTGTGCACGACGGGACTTTACCAATCAGTACTCACGCGGGGGAGATATCAGAAAAAGCGGATTCTGGACGCACCTCTTTCCTCAACTCCTCGCCGCTAACCTCGCTCTGCTTCTTGCGCTCCTCCGCGTCCTCGCCTTCGCCCTCCTCGTCTTCGCTCGGCACGTCGTCGACTCCGAGCGCGACACCCTTGCGGAAAACTTCGCTCTCCTCCATGACCATCGCACGCGACTCCGACTGAATGGGGCTGCGGACCAAGTCGGACGAGCTTGACGCTTCGTCGACCTCGAGAGTCTGTTCGGCCGTGTCGTCGCCGGCGTTCTTGTCGATCGCAGCCTGCGCAGCCGCCTCGTCCTCCGAGTCTGAGCCTTGAAGTGAGAATGTCGGCGACGAGGGTGGTGGCACGTCGACCGCTGACGAGCCTTCGGGGACCTCCAGGTGTGGCGAGCCGGCGCCGTTCTGCTGAAGCGAGGGAGGAGGCTTGTCGTAGAGCGACTTGGCGAGGTCGAGAAGAGAGGAGAGCTCGGTGAGGAGGAGTTCGGCGCGTTCTGCGGAAGAAGCGGGTCAGCAAGCGAGTGGATGGAAGGCGGACAGCCGGACGAACCCCGCTCTTCTCCCTGTCTTGCACCCGTGAAAGCCTCGGCGAGCTGCGCCTCACACAGCTGCACCTGGAGCAAGGCGTCTCGGACGACTTCGCTCGGCGCGACGATGATACCCTTCGCAGCCGCCTGCTGATCGACGGCGAGCAGCTCGGCCACCACGTCGCGCGTCTCGGCAGCGGCGGCAAAGATGTCCTTCTGCGTACGCAGAGCTGCCTGCCGCCGCCTCTCCTGGCGCTCCTCGGCAGCCTGGCGCGCCTCGAGACTGCTCGCGAGAGCCGACTTGCGGATAGGCTGCGCGACAACGACCCGCTTCGAACCGTCCGCAGCTGCACGAGCTTCTTCGTCCGCTTTGGCTTGCGCAAGCTCGGTATTGCGGACACACTGGAGGAGAATCTCCTGTGAGAAGCGGCTGAAGTCGGGGTCGTCGAAGGGGATGTTGAGGTCGAGACAGCGAATGGTCGAGTTCAGCTTGATGGACACGGCGAGGGCCATGACGCCCGAGATGTCAATCTGGTTGCTCGTGAGGTCGAGGTGGAGGATGGACCGCGCTTCAGGCAGAAACTCGGCAAGCGCGATGGCCCCTTCGGACGTGAGGTCGGTACTGTTGAGGAAGACGCGCTTGAGGGTTGGCGAGACCATCATCGCCGAGCGAAGCGCCATAATGCCCTCGATCGTCGGTCCGCAGCAAGGGTTGTGGCTCATGTCGAGGGTCTCGAGGGTCGTATTGTACTTGAGAGCCTCGCCGATCACGATGAGGCCTTGCGCATCAATGCGGTTCTCGCTCAGGTTGAGTACCTTGAGCGTGCGGTTCCGCTTCAGGACCTGCGCGATGTACGTAACGCCGTTCTGCCAGGAAAAGCGTGTCAGTCAACTGCACATCCGCCGTCAAGCTGGAAATGACGCACCCGGATGTCGTTACCCTTGACGTCCAGCGTCAAGAGCGCACCTATCCGAGGCAGTCCGTCGATCTGCTTGCGCAACCTTGCCCGCGCCTCACTCAACCGGAAGACCTCTCGCTCCGTCATTGCTGTTGGGCGCTCCTGCCCGTCCTGCGAGTCGGGCGCTAGAAGCGTTGCAGATGATGATGCGCGATGCCGTCCGCCGTCCGAGTCGCGGTGCTGCTGACGAGCCGTGACCGAATTGCCAGCCTCGAACGCAGGAGACGCGGTCGATAGCGAATCGTTCGACCCATTTGATTGTCCGAAGAGAGATGCGGAAAACGGCGTGGCGGAAGCAGGAGAGGGGGAGAAGGCGGAAGAAGGGTCAGAGGAGACGGGGTAGTCGCGGATTATGGCGGCGAGAGCGACGCCGCCCGCTGCATTGATGCGGTTGCGCCGCAGCGAGACGTGTTTGATCTGTGAACTTCGGATGCCGTTTGCTGCGATCGTCTAGGTCAGTACTGGCGATCATGGCGAGCAAGGGCAAGCGGTACGCACCGATAACCTCGAGCGCAGGACCACGCAGACCGCAGTTCTCCATTCGAAGCGAGAGTACCATCGACGGCTCGCTCGACCAGTCCTCCTTCAGCAAAGGCGCGGTGTCGAAGAGCGGGTCGCGATGCCGCAGCGGGACGACCTGCTCATCCGCTTCAGCCTTCTCCTCCGTAGATTCGCCTTCCGGCGCATCGTTAGCCTCCTTCGCCGCTCCTTCTGCTTGAGCGCCTTCCTCCGCGTCCGAATCGTCGTCGTCGTCCCACAGTCCGCCGACCTTCTTCGACAGATCCTTCTTTCCCGCCGCATCGACATGTCCAGTCTCGCTCGATGGCGAGGCAGGTAGCGATGGCTGAGGCGGCGCAGGAGGGACGACAGGTTGCGGTGTGATCGCTTGGACGAGCCACTCTGCTGCTCGCCGGTCGATGGAGGTTTCCGAGAGGTCGAGGTATCGCAAGAACTTGGCCTGTAGTGAGGAACAGCGTCAGCTTCGTTCTATCTCAACCGCAGCGAGCACCGCTCCTCCGCATCGGTAGAGAATAAGGTGCAGGCGGAAGGCGACGACGCACTTTTCGCAAGAACACCGCAATTAGCTTCCACCCTCGGTTCCGTATCCGCTTGTTGCCCGCGAGACTGACTGTCGGGATCGAGGCCGAGACGAGTAGCGCATGCAGAAGCGGCTTCACGCTCTGCAACGGGAGATCCGGTCAGTGAGGCTCACCAGTCCTGCGGGAGAAGGCGACTCACCTCGTCATCCAGACCGCAGCCTTCCAAGATCAGCTTCTTGCATCCCCAATCGACAGAGAGGACGTCGGAGAGCGCCTCGACTGCGCCGTGCGAGAGGAACTCGTGCGAGAGGTCGAGCGCTTTGGGCGGTGCGGTCGGGTTTTCCTGCACGAGAAGGGGGCGTCAACAACGCTCAAAACGCGAGATCAAACGTCGGTACGCACTCGGAAGGCCCGCTTGACCCGCTCAATGCCCGGCTCCTCCCTCGTCCTGCAGCACTCGGCATACAACCGCCCCAGCTCCTCGCCCGTCCAGACCTTCTTCTCCTCTTCCGCAGGCTTCTCAGCGGACGACATATCCGCCATTCGCGCCTTCCCTTTCCCCTTCTTCGCACGGAACTCTTCCTCGATTCGGTCGCGCGTCGCTCCCTCTTCTTCGGGTGCGATAGCTTCGAGCGTACCGTGGTTGATAGGGTAGACGACCTTGAGCGACGACATGCGGAAACGAACGAGCTTGAGGGAGGATACGGGGAGAGGATGGGAGGGCTGAGGCGGAGGAGCGGGTTGCTGCGAAGAGGGAGGAGAGGCGACGGCGGTAGAGGCGGAAGAGACGGCAGTCGAGGTCGTAGCGACTGACGACGTCGAAGGGTTCGGGTGTGTCGGCGTGAGCTGCTTCGCCTGGATTGGTGCAGCCGCATCCGCCCTCACACCGTTCGCCTGAAACTTTGACGGGTCCGTAGGATGCGGTGCGGACGCCGCAATTGTAGTCGCGCCCGCCGCAGCCGCCGCCGCGCTCAACTTCTTCAGCGCATTGCCGAAGAAGCCGCCTGCTGTAGCCGCTGCATTCCCGACCGCTTCGCCAACTCCCGTCGCGCCAGCCGGAGGGTTTCCTCCCGTCGTCGATGCCTGACTTTCTGCAACGCCGGCTGCGCGAACGTACGACGAATTGAAAGGCTGGAGGATGTCGCGACGGAAGGAGAAGCGGGATGAAGCGGCGTGGGAGGACTGAGGGGGTCGGAGGATGCCTTTCGCTGGCGGAGGAGGGAGACGTCGTTGTCGCGGAGGAGGCGGGTGTGCGATGACGGATTCCGTTGGCGCTTCAGACGTCATTGCCGTCTCGTTCATCGTGGAAGACGCTGCTGATGTGTCGGGAGAAACCGAATCGCCCGCACCGTCCGATGGAGCGAGACTGACCGCAGAGGCCGCTGCGAGAGCGCCGCCGCTCGTAGCGACAGCACTGCCAGATCGAGCATCACCCGTGCCACCTTCTGTCAAGCCCGCAACCTCTCCCGCCGAGTGTTCATCCCCTCCATCCGGCCTCCTCTCGACCCCTTGCGCCGCATCCTCCTCGACACGCCCTGCGCTGTCCGCTGCATCGACCTCAGAAGCCGTCGCAGCTGCTTCGGCGTCACTCATACTCGTTCGCAGCTCCTGCGCGTGCGTTGAAGAGTTGCGAGAGTGTCGAGTTGCGATGTGGTGGTGTGGGGTCGAGCGAGTCGCAAACACGGCCGAGGACGAGCGGTGGTGCTGCTGCTGGAATGCTCGAGCGTACAAGCCTGCGAAACCAGCCAAAGCGCCAGAAGAAGCGGAGAACGTGAAGACGAAGTTGTTGCGAGAAGCGAAGGGCTGCGGACGACGGGCGGACCCAACAGACAACTTCGAAGGACATCAGCTCTGCGGACGAAACAGTATTACAAGAACGAGCTATATGCATGCAGAGTTGCGCGGAGGGAGATGCGAAGCGGGGTATGCGTCAGGACTATGGACAGGCTCTCCTCCTGTAACGAGTCGTAAGGAGAAACTCATCGCCTTTACTCGTCGTCATCGTCGCCATCGTCATTGTAACGCGACGAGCGGATCGAGCCGTTTGCGCCGTAAAGCGAAGGCGCCTGAGGCGGTCCTGAGATGACGCCGGAGCTGTAGGCGTGGGAAGCGGGGTCAGTCGCAGCTTAGCGAACTCCGAATGCGAGCAACGTACCCTGCAAGGAACTCTTCGATTTCCTTCCTGCCCCGGTCGCCATCCCTGACCTCGCCACTCGGCAACTCGAGATCGAACCGTACCCACGTCGCCTCGAGGTCCCCCTTGCGGTAGATCAGCACGGTAGGAAGGGTGCTGGCGTCGATGTCGGATGACATGAAGTCGAGTTCGGAGGCGACGCAGCGGATGAACTTGGTCGAGGGATAGAGGCGGGCGAGGTGCGCGAGGTGTGTGTTCAGCAGTTCGCAGATTTGAATGCGCTGTAAAAGTGATCATTAGCCATGGCTTCTTGAGCGCAAGGGAGCGGTGGAAAAACGCACCCGCTCGTAGAGGTGCACGACGACCGCGACGTCCTCATCCTCCTCCTCGACCGCGTTCACATAGCCCTCGACCCCCACTTCCCGCAAGTGCCCAAAGATCCGGTTGCCCAGAGCGTCACTCCCTCTCCGCTCGCCGCTACCCTGCATCTGCAACTCCTGCAGCCTCTTCCGTCGCAACTCTGCGAGCTCGTCGTCCTCCTCTTCCTCCTTGTCGAGCGAGACGACCAACTTCGTCCGGACCTTCTCCGCTAAGCCGTTGACCGCTCCGTTCCCATTCTGCATCGCGCGTTGCGCCTCCTTGTAGTCCGCCCTGACACCCTTAACGCCCGTATTCCGACTCTGCCATCTCTTTCCACCTCCAGGCGCGCGGGACGGCATCTCGCCTCCCTTTGGCGGGTCCGGGTCGATCGCCGTAAACCTCGGACCGTCCGCGTCGTCGTCGCTTCGTCGCGTAGGGGAGGGGGACCGAGAGCGAGGAGGGGAGGAGGCGCGCAAGGTAGCTGCCGCGTCGGCGTCGCGCTGCAGGGCGGGGTGGGTCCCGTCGAGGAACATCTGCTCCATCTTGTCGGCACTCATGGTGACTCGCGAAGCCTGTCTGGCGCGTCACACGTCGGGTTGTGTCGAGGGGAGTGTGCGACTGATGAAAGTCGGGAGAGAGGGAGTGGGGTCGGTTCAAGCTGCGCCGTGTACTTCTGTTCGTCCAAGGCAGTGCCAGCAATCTAGCAAGCTCAACACTGGACAATCTGAGCGTGGTAGCGCGGTACAGGAGAGCGAGAGTCGCGGGTTCGCCTCTTCGACCGCACGACATCGCTATCACCGCGCTCGAAGGACTCTGTCAGACTGCGAGTCTGCTTTTCAGGTCTCAGGACACGGACCGACCTTGCTTGTCCGCCCGCCTCGTCTCGCCCACCGCCAGTCGTTCCACCCCCGCATCCCCTCTCAGCGCACAGCGTCTTGCATCTCTCACGGCGCAGAAGTGGGCTAATAAAGCGTGCTTCGTCATCCGAGGCGTCTTGACGGCTACCGCGCCCCGGAAATTCTGCCCTCGCCGTTCGCCATGTCCTCGACGCGCTTCCCCCACTCGTCCTCCTCCTCGTCGACGTCCGGCTCCATCGCCCTCGAACAAGCCAATGCCGACCTGACACTCCTGCAACAATCGCTCGCGAGGTCGTCCAAGATTAGCGACCGAATGAGCACCGTTTTGGGCGAGTTGGACGACCGGTTGGCGAGGTTGGAGAAGAGCTTGGTGCCAATCTACAGGGAGACGGGCAAGCTGACGAGGGTGTCGAAGAGTGCGCTTCTCTCGCTGCGATACCTCCTACTGCAGCAGGCTCGCAGCGAGTTTGGCTGACTTTAGCTTCTTTGCCGCAGACCTTGAATCGACGATGCGGTCAATAGACGGCTTGCTAGGTCATCACGACCTCGTCGAGCGAGAGGAAGGACTCATCAAAGCGGGGTGAGGCAGACTTTCCCCCGCTCAGCCATTTGGAGGCGTTGTCGCTCCGATGCTGACTTGAGCCGGTCTTTTAAACGGTGCAGACCAAAGCAGGACGACCTCAAGCCCTATCTCGCCGCCATCGACCGCCTCGTCTCCGCGTCAGAAGCGTTGCGGAAGACGGATGCGAAAGGTCAGAGCGCGACACTGGCTCAGATGGTGCGTTTCGCGATGCTTCCGTCGTCTCCCTTAATTTTGCGGCGTATGCTAGACGTACTGACGCTGCTCGTGCTCACAGGACGCCCTCATTGACTCGGGAGCCCGGCAGTTGATCGGCATCTTCACGAAGTGGGTCAAAGAAACGAGTCCCTCGATGGATGCTGGCAAGCTGTACGACCAGGGTGCGTAACAACCCTTGCGTCAGTCGTCACATCGCTACGGGTCAGGCTAATTGCGCGCTGCATCCACAGGGAAGCCCTTCCCGACCCTCACTCCCTTCTTCCTCGAGAACGCGCTCCCGCTCATCGCCTACCTCCGCGCCCTTCCCGACCCACAGAACACCTCGTCCATCTCGTCCACTCTCCTCTCGTCCTATACATCCCTCCGATCGGCCTACATCGAGGAGAGCCTGCGGAACTGCACGAAGGAGGTCTTGGTTGACGCGACGCCCGAGATGGTCTCGCTTACGCCGAGAATCGGAACGGACGCGGATAGTGCGAAGGGGGCGGGCGCCTCTGCGAGAGGTGCGGCGGATCGGAGGGGTCTCGGGAGGGTGTTGGATGTCATGCTCGCGCTGGCAAAAGTGCGATCCCATGCGAATCCTCGTGCTTTCTTTCGCTAATACCTCGCTTTACAGTCGGAGCACGCTCTCCTCGGCACCGTCTTCGCCTCCCTTCCCGCATCTCAACGAACGTCCCTCTACTCCTCCCTCCTCCGTCCTTCCCTCACCCTCCTCACCAACACCGGCCAATCGCTCAACTCACTCATCAAAAAGTCCGCGCACTACGCTCTCGTTCCTATCGCTTTCGCTACGTTCCAGGAGCTGCAGGAGCGGCAGGGAGAGTTTGAGGATTGGGTGCGAACGAAGGCGGGAAGGAAGGAGAACGAGGTGGGAGACTTGACACATGCGTTCAGAGGGACGTGCTTGACGAGCTTGCCGGGTATCATCGAGGAAACAAAGGTGCGCGTCACCCTTTCGCATCCGGCAGGTTCTGAACGAATCTCGGATCTTGCTGATGATTCGGTCCGCTACGCGCAGTCCTGGGGCAACAAGGCGCCTGTCGGGACAGAGGCGCTTTCGGCCGCTGTTAGCCCTGTCACGATCAACGTGAGTTGGCTGATCTCGTCGACTCTCCCTTTCCAGCCCGCTGACTTCGCTTCGATCAGGTGGTCAACTTCATGCGCCAATTGACGGACTCGCAAGCTACGGCGGAGACGTTCCTCGGCGTGCTCGGTGCGGGCAATTGGGGCGGCCCGAGCAAGACCAGCGCCGCAACAGGCGGCGATGAGAATGGGCTGCTGTCCCGATACCTCAGTGAGTTCCGCTCGACGACCTTGAGAGGTGCAGCGTAGCTCGAAGCTTCGCGGACTGCCTGTTTCGACTGCGGGCGGAACCCACAGGCTAACTCACAAGCTGTTGTTCTCGCCAGATGACGTGCTCTCCGTCCTGCTGAGCTCGCTCGACTCTCGCTCTCGCATCCTCCGCGGTCGGTCTGGCACAGGCGCCATCTTCCTTCTCAACAATGTTTCCTTTGTCCGGCACGCAGTTCTCTCGACCGCCATCATCGACGTTCTCGGCGAAGCAGCGGAAGACAGCCTCAACAAGCGCATGCGGACGACCAAGGCGTCGTACCTCGAGATCTGGTCGCCTCTTGTCTCGGCACTGCTCGACGCCGGCTTTGCGGAGCAGTCTGGCGCAGCAGGCGCGCTCAAAGCTGGTCTTGGAGCGGTCACGGGCGGCGGCGGGACAGAGCGGCGCGAGACGAAGGACCGATTCGTCAGGTTCCACGAGGCGCTCGAGGAAGTCGAGCAGCTTCACCAGCAGGCCAAGCTTGACGACGGAGATGTTGAGCTCAAGGAGCGGCTGCGGGACGAAGTCGACCGAATGGTTGCGCCGACGTACGCCAAGTTCGTGCAGCGGCATCGCAAGGACAACTGTGCGTCGCTTTCCTTCCGCAGGTTCGAGCTCGGCTGACTGTCCGTCTCGCAGACTCCACCAAGTACGTTCGGCTGGACGCAGACGGCTTGGAGGCGAAGATTCGCACAATCTTCGAGTAGAGCAGTATATCTTCGCGATGCAGACTCCGTCGCTATGGGCAGCTGATCATGTCAGCAGAGCTACGAGGTCCTCGTGTTCGGCTAGTCGTGCGAGATCGAGAGCCGTGTTGCCGTCTTCATCCTGCATGGCGGAACTGCCGTCAGCCAAGTGACCCGCTCGAGATCAGTATCGAGGACCGAACCTGTATAGACCGATCTGCTCCCGCCCCGAGCAACGCCTTCACCGCGCCGGAGTTGCCTGGACACACATCCCGGTGTCAATCTGCTTCTCGTGCCCGAGATTGCAGCGTGACGCACCTCGATCTACTGCTAGGTGCAGCGCCGTGTACCCATAGCTGTCCCGTTCGTTCACGCCGTCTCGTGCTGCCTTGTCCTGAAGGAACGCCTCAAGCGCATCGGCGTCGCCTGCGATTGCGAGCTCGTGTAGTCTTGAGGGCGGTCTGGCGAGATGTCAGGGTCAGTATCGAGCCTGTGACAGAAGCGAGGGAGCGCTCTACGCACGCTTCGTCGACAAAATCCGTTCCCATTGTGCTCACCGAAACCATCTGCTCCTGCTTCTCCTTCTTTGGCACATCCTGCGTCCCGCCGTCTCCTTTCGCCGTCTCATTCGCATCAAAGCCGAGTCTCCGCGCCACTTCAACGTACTCTTCCTGCGCTTGCCGCTTGCCAGCCTCGCCTTCGAACCGTTCCTCCCGCCCTAGCTTGTCCCACGCATCCCACTTTGCCCGTCCAGTCCAGTCAAGTAAGCCTGGCCGAGACGTTGTTGGTCTAGAGGAGACTGTCGCGATCTTGAAGAGGGCGTAGAGCTGCGTGGCGAGGAGGAACAGAGGGGTCAGCGAGCGAGACGGCGGAATCCGCGGGTTGCAGCGCACCGCGAGCTTTGTCTCGTTACTCGAAGCCACCGTGGAGGACCCAACGAAAGCTACTGCCTGCTCAAACGAGCCGTCCATGGCTGAGGAAGCGAGGAGACGAGGCGAGATGTGGGGCGAGCGAGGTTGGTGAGGGTTCAACGACAGCGCTGTTCTTCGTGCCGAGAGCTGACGAGAAGGTTTCCAGAGTGGATCGTGGGAGCTATAATCCGTCCGCGAGCCGAGCGAAGCAGGTGCGAACGGCAGGAAGAGCGATCTTCGTCTGCTCAACACTTGCCTCCGCGCTGACACGGCGCAAATGCTAGATGTTTGCATACTAAGCAGGACACTACAACACTGGCCGCGTGGCCCAATGGCAAGGCGTCTGACTACGATTCAGTCGTTCATCAGGAGATTGTGGGTTCGAACCCCATCGTGGTCAATCATCTTTTGCTGGCGCTCAGTATGAGGAGTTGTATAAGCTGAGTGTCCTCTCTTTTGCCACCCCTGCGGAGCCCGGCGGCGAACTTTGAACGACGCAGCTGGGCGGAGCGAAGGTAGCCAAGTAGGACGTTTCTTGTATCCTTGCAATCGTCTCCTTAGTCTGTTCGATTGACCCTGCACACGCCAGCCGCAGACAGGCCCTCTACAGCCTGCATTTGACGCAAGAGACTGTTAACATGGCACTTGGACCCGCCTGCTAGCACGAGACGGGCTAGGGGACTTCCCTGCCAACGCGGGTTGTCCTCCGCCGCAACAACGTCTCCTGCGTAAGTGGGCCGGACAGCAGGCGTCTTAGAACGACGTTGGGGGGCGCTTGATTGGAAGAAAGAGCCGCTGCATGAAGAGGAGGAGGAGCGAAGCCGTCTGGTCCTCCTCTACTTTGGGGGTCGCGTCCTTGTCGTTTGCCTCGACAGCCGTCGGTCTGCCCTCATCCGACACTCACTCAAACAACGCACCTGGACAGGCCGCTAGCGCTCTTGAATGGGTCCTTGCCCTTCATCCACCGCCAGCTAGAACGGCGAGAAAGCAAGAGAGGCCGAGAGGATTGGCTTTGCGGCAGTCTCCGCACTCCTCAACGTGCCCGTACATTGCGCACGACGCCCGCAATGAATTCACGGCCGCTCGCTTCGGACATTGGCCGCAGGAAGAGCGAAGTTGCGAAGGTTGTGGAAAGCCCGCCTTGTTCTGTCGGGCCGCCCGCCCTAGGAGCAGCTCTCGCTCGCACTTCCCTCGCAGCGACCGCAGTACAGATCGGAGCTGAACAGCCAGGTGCGACCGCGAAGAGACTGCGAGCGAACGTGCGAGTTACTATGAGGACGAGGAAAGACGGTGGAGGAACTGCCAAGGTGCACAACAGCGGGAGGAGGGAGAACAGATGGATAGATATGAGAGAAAAACGTCCGTTCAGAAGAGCCTGCCCGCACCGACAAGAACCCCACCAGCCACCGCCGCAAGTGCCGCAAAGACTTCGACTCCGGGCGCGCCAAACGTCCGCATGCCCGCGCTCTTCGTCGCCGAAGCTCCTGCCGTTCCCCTGGCCATGCTCGTGTCGACGGTGCCGATCTTGGTGTACGGTGCGCGGGTGTTGGAGGAGAGGACTTCGCCGCTGTCGAGAAAAAGAAGGTCAGCAAGACGGCCTCTTCTGCTCAGCGCATGGGGCGACGCACGGATTGCCCGACTTGAAGATGACAGACGACGTCGCGGCGACAGGCGAATTCGTGTTTGCGACGGTCGCGGTGGTGGGGAAGGCGCCGACCAAGCCGGTCGCCGTGTCGGAGGCGGAGTTTGCGAGAATCGAGTTGTACGGCGCGGCGGCGGTCGAGATGGCTTGCAGGAGGGAAGACGGTGCCGATTCGCCCTGGTACGAGTCTGCAGGCGGGCAAGACGGGCTGTCAGTCGTGCGGAGGACCAATTTGGCGGTGAGCGCGCCGGCGACCAAGGCGAGACGCACAGACGAGCGGTGGCATGGGCGCGGCGGTCTGCGCGCGTGCGACAGCAGCACAGAGAGCGAGTGCGAGCACCAGCAGCAGCCGCATCGTGTCCGTTCGTGAGCGTGGCGAGAGGAGGAGGACGAGGAAGGGCTCCGCAAGGTGGCCGATCAAATTGAAGGGCTCCGTAAAATGAATACACAGGGGGACAGCAACGCTGGAACACAACACTTGCACTCTACGAATGCGACGACGCACCGCCGAAGAACCGCGTCCCGAGGCGGGCGCCCAACCTCGCAAACGCCCGCTCCTCCTTCCCGCCGCCGTCGCGCCCGCCGAGGATGGGCGTGCCCACCCTGCTCCCGTCTCGACTGCCCCCGCCGCTCTGCAGCATCGGTATGGACGCCGCGCCGCCAAAGCCGAAGAGACCGAGGTTGCTGCCGGCTGTCGTAGGCGAAGCGAGACCCGAGGCGGAGGGCGATGTGAGCGACTTGCTTGCCGGGTCCATGTCGAGCGTCGTGAGAAAGGACGAGTCCGACAGCCCGCTGGCAGTCGATGTCTTGGCGAGGAAGATATCGAGCAGCTGGTTCTGCTCCGCTCGGCGGACGCCCTGCAACAAGGCGGAAAATCAGCTCGTCTCGCCGTCAAGTCCATGAAGGCCGCTCGCACCTTGAGGTCGAGCACCTTCTGGAAGTCGGAGAAGGACTGGCACGGAATGAGGAGGAGGTAGTGCTTGACGAAATCGTCAGGCGGGTCTTCGGGGCTCATGAGGATTTTGAGCAGGGTATCGATGTTCTGGACGTTGCGGGTTACGTAGCGCGAGTAGCTGCACAGGCGGCTCGTCAGCGAGACTTTGAAGACCAGGAGAGCCTGCACACACGAAGTCGGGATGGGCGCAGGATCGCCTGGCGCGAGGACGAGGTGCATGAGGCAGTTCTTGAGCGCTTGCAAGTCGAGCAGAATCTGCTCGGCGCCTGTCTGCGAAATAGGGCGGCATTTGACGATGGTCTGCGTGAATTTGGCGAGCACGAGGCTGCGCGGCGAAAGTTGCTCAGCTTCGAGGCCAGAGGGACCGAAGACGACGAGGACTCACCCGACGACCTTGTCGCAAGTACTCCTGACATACTTCTTCTGCTCGACGCCTTCCCGCACCGCTCCGACAACCGTGTCGAGTGCCCTCGCAAGCTCCGCCACATACGCACTCTCCGAGCTAACAAACTCCGCCTCCTTCCAGGGACTGCGCGCCATTGTCGAAAAGCACGGCTCGACGGTGAACTCGAGCTCGCGGAGGATGGCGAGGAGGGCAGCGGAGGTCGTTGACTGGAACATCTCCTTCTCCGCTTCGAGCGAGACGCGATCTCGGAAGTCGGGGTGGATGCGCTCGTGTAGTCGCTCTTCGAGCTGCGACAAGCGAAGTCGGCAACGGTTTAGAGGCGATAGAGACTCTACGCACCTGTGTCGCAGTCTCGAGGCAGTACTCGGCAGTGTTGAGGACGAGACACGCCGTCTGCAGCTCTTGCATGTTTGGTCGTCCCTCGGTTGACTTGCGGTCGAACCTGGGGAAGTACCGTCAGTAGAGAGCAACGCTAGACAGATGACGGCACGCACTTGATGAGCGACGCCGTCAACACGTCCTCCGCATACGTCTTCAGCCATTTCCGGTACACCTTGCAAAGATCGAGCAGCGCTTGTCGAGTCGAGAGCTTGGCGCACCGCTCGAGCGCCTCGCGGTAGAAGTAGAAGAGTTCGGTCGAGGAAGGAAGGACGGCCGAAGGGTTGTCGGTGGGAGATATGGAGATGCGCGAGGAGGTGAAGCTTTGGAACATCTCGGCGAGTGTCCTGCATGACCCAGCGTCAGCTGTTTGAAGTCTCTCGACAGCGTGGAGTCTCACTTGTCTTGCGCGTCGACGAAGATACCGAGGTACGGCTCAAAGACGCTCGAGATCGGTGCTGTTGCGTCGGGTCCGCCGTAGCTGAGCTGCGAAAGCTTGAGAATGTCCTCGAACTGCGAGAGAGCTGTCAGACAGGCTTATGCATAGCGAGTAGGCTACACTCACAGAGAGCGAGAACTTGCGGGCGGTCTCGCGCTCGAACTCGGCGGTCTGAGCGATTGATTCGAGCAAGAGGCCGACGTTGAGCGTCTGCGAGGACTTGGCCAGCACGCTCTTCAAGTCGTTCCTGCAAATGCACGACAGTCAGCTCCTCGCCGAGTCGAGGATGGAACCGAGACTCACTTGGTGACCTCGCTGAAACCGCCTGCCAGAACTGCATCAACCGCCCAACTTTCCGGAAAGATCGCGCTGTTCTCCTCTTCGTGTGTCCGCAGTATCCGTCGGAACCACGCAAACCGTCGCGAGATGTTGTCGAGCTGGCCTGCTTCGGAGGTGGCGCCGAAGATCCGCCGGTAGTCTCGCAGCAGGAGAAGCGAGTACCACTTGAGCAGCGTGTTCCTGTGAGTGGCAGGTCAGCAAGGCTCGCTATGAGATGATGGTGGACTCACTTTGCTTCATCGCCAAGAGCGTCGATAATGAGGCAAGCATCGGCGAGCTGCGCATCCTTGCCTGCTCGCGCAGTCTCGTTCGCGAAGCTGTGGAAGCAACGCGTCAGCTGAATTTTCGTCGAGAGGAGAGTGGCAGACGCACGCTTCCTCGAACTCGCGCATGACCTGGCCCTTCAGCACGTTCTGCACCTCCGCGACTCCTCGACTGACTGCCGCGACCCGCTCGACGCTCGAGAACGTCTTGAAGAAGGACGAGAGCTCCTTGACCGCTCCGAGCGCTTGCGCTGTCTCGCGATATCGTCGAGACTTGGCGAGTCGAGTGAGTTGGTCGAAGGCATTGACTGCGAGAGAACAAGTGAGCATTTGACAGAAGGCCGATGTCATCCGACGCACCGAGCATCTGGAAGCGCTTCAGTGCGTTCATGCTAGCCACGAGGTTCCGCTTGGCGAGATCCAGCAACTGTATGTCCCGCGTAATGTCGCGAACGACCACCTCGCTCTCTGTCGCGGCATCTCGTATCGCCGTCACCTGCGCCAGCAAGTCCTGCGGGCATGTAGACGGTCAGATGCGCCTCATGAAGCGACGAGAAACAGGCAACTCACGCCAATGAGCTCCTGCAACTCGCCCATTCCCCTCGGATCCTGATCCCGCTCGAGTACCGCCGTGAGCGCCTCGACCTCCTCGCGAATCGCCTGGATCTTGATGCGAAGCAGCAGTCCAACCATTGGCGCGTGTGCCAGACTCGCTTCTGCGCGCAGGAAAGCAAAGTTGGCTCAGTTCGCCTCCCCACTTCACGCTGCGAGCGATGAGGACGAGGAGAGGGGCACGCACCGTCTGGCAACAGCTCGTTCAGCACGTCCTCCACTTGAACTCCACCGCTGCCATCTCCACCGTTCGCAGCCCCGCTCAGCACGAAGGCGTCGAGAGCGTCGCGCTCCTTCTCTGGGCCATCGCTGGCGGCTCGTTTCGTCAACAGCGTCAAGAGCAACTCCTGTGGCAGTTCTGGTAGCGCGTCACTAGGGTCTGACGGCGGCAAAGCAATGGTCGGAGCCGCCATCGCGGCGAGAGCAGCGAGGTGTTCGCGGACAAGCCTGCGGCGAGGAGGAGGGACGAGTCCGCTTGGCTGCTGTGTTCTCCTTAAGTCTTCGCGAAGGAGGCTCACACGGACAAAGACTGAGATGAAGAAGCCTGCGTTGCGTTTTGGGATGATTGGTATCGACAACCGAGAGAGAGAAAAGAATGACTGCTGCTTCTTCCTTCCGATCCGCACTGCCTTCCTACTCGCCTCCTTCCTACGCTCCTGTACCCCTCGTCCTCTCACTCTGCTTAGAAGAGGTCGCCCAGCGCCTCCATGCCCGGGGTCGACTCCTTGACCGCCATCTCGAAGTAGGCTGCGAACGACGGAGTCAGTTGGAAGTCTCGCTCGTAAAGAAAGATTCGTCACTCGACGCACAGTAGATGATGGTAACGCAGAGGAGGATACCGGTTCCCGAACCAAGAGCGCCAACGAGGTCGGCGGTGACGGAGAGCAAGCCAATGACAGCACCGCCAAAGACGGCAGCAGTCGGGATGATACGCTTGAGCTCCTTGTACATGCTGTCATCGCGGCGTCCGGCAAGAACCATTCCCTGGTCCTTGAGCTGCTTGGCGACGTCGCGCGGGCTCGAGCCGGAGATCTCGATCCAGGTCTTGGAGAAGAGAGCGCAGGCGGAGAGCATGAAGGCGATGTAGATGGCCGTGTGAATCGGGTCAGTGAGAACTTCGCGGAGTGTGCGGGGAGGCGACATGTAGTAGGCGAGACCGGACTTGGCGAAGAGCTGGGCCGAGTCCTCGAGGGGCTGCGGTAAGGAGGGTGGTCAGTTTCCAGCCTGGCTAGTGAGGGATGCGCGCAACGCACCTCCCAGACGCCAATGAGGCGGACAAGGAAGTTCTCGGGGAAGCGGTTGAAGAGCATCTGGGAGACGATGAAGACGTTGGAGGTGAGGGCCGACTCGAGCATGATGCTGTGGGCGCAGGTGCGTCAGTAACGCGAGACCATGCAGTGGAGAGAGAGACGCACGGCATGTTCGAGGTGTAGAAGAGCTTGACGGGGTAGGTGCCACGCTGGCCCTGGACACGGCTGCTCCTGACGGGGATCTCGATGCGGAAGCCCTGGAGGTAGATGACAAGGGCGAAGACGGCAACGGTGGCGACGAGGTTCATAACGTTGGGGAGGCGCTCGCGGTAGAAGGCCTCCTTGAGCGCGCGCGACTTGTCGTTCCAGGTGAAGAGGAGGTGGAAGAGGGCGATGAGCGCGCCCTCGAATTCGGGTCCGCGGCCGGTGTTGACGGTCGTCGGGGAGAAGGCCTTCCAGACGATCGACTCGCAGATGTTGGTGGCGATGAAGAGGTTGATGCCAGAACCGAGACCATAGCCCTTTTGGAGAAGCTCGTCGAGGAGGATGACGATCAAGGCGGCGACGATGAGCTGGAGGATGAGGAGGAGGCAGACTCCTGCGCCGAGGTCGGAGGGCTGGCCGTAGAGACCAGTGAGGACGTAGACGGTCGCCTGGCCGAACGAGATGAGGAGGGCGAGGACTGCGGTCGGTGAAGCCGAGGGTGCGAAAGGCGGATTGGGTAGTTTCAAGGGGTCGGTGGCATGTGGAGAAGCGGCGAGAGAGCATCAGCTCGTTTTCAGCTGTGAGAATGCAGCGGAGGAACGCCTGTTACGCACGCTTCTGGGCTCCACCGAACAAGGCGCGGTCCTCCTTGAGCGTAAAGTCAACTTCGATGAATCCAGCACCCTGGAGGAGCTGGATGATCATGCCGGACGTGATGATGGGGGTAATACCCAGCTCCATCAGAGTACCGCGGTTCGAGGCGAGGATGACACGCATCCAGTACAGCGGGTCTGCGCGGCGGCGATGTCAGTATCGAACGCAGATGCCTGCAGTGTATGGAGATGCGCACCAGACGAGTCGGACGACACGATGCCGTAGAGGGGGATCTGCGAGCAGACAAGGAAGATGAGGAGGGTGATTGCCGTCCATCCGACCTGCGGGCGCGTCCGTGCATCAGCATCTCTCTCTAAGTCAAAGTCACCTAACGCGGCGCACCTTGGTGTTGAAGGGGATCTGTGAGGAGAGCGAGTCGTGTCAGCGGGGAGGGGACGCAGTGATCATGCCGTGTCGCAGCGGGCTCACCTTGCGGTCGGGCGCGGACACCTCTGGCAAGATCGGCAGGAATGGTCGGACGAGGTCGAGGGCGCGGAAGCTCATGCTGGGCGTGTGCTGAGCGGAAATGCGACGAGGAGGGGGAGGGTCGACGCGGTGGACGCGCTGGAAGGGAGAGGGGAAAGAGCGGCCGCCTGGGTGGACTGGCTAGCGTTGCCTGGCTGTAGCTTGACTGTGCAGCCTGTGCGACTATACCACACGCGAGAGCTTAGCGGATGGGCGCAAGCCAACTCCTCCGCCCGCTCCGCCTCGACGTGGACCGCGAGGAAATCTCAAGTCTCCCCAGGTGCAGCAGAGTAGACAGCTTTGCATACCAGAACAACAACTTAATAGACTCTACAGTCTCCGCCGCGCCTTGCGCTCTGCGTTGCCGCGATCCGCCCATCCATTCTCGCCCTTCGCAACAACCTTGGCCAGGTGCAGCCGCGCGGCCGAGTAGGCGCTCGCTCGCACGTCACGAGCCAGCATCGTCAAGATTGACGAGTAGACGGACGGGCGGCGGGAAAGGACACGGTGGAAGGCGTGGTAGCCGAGCCTGAAGAAGCGAAGTCAGCGTCTGGCGTCGGAATCGTCGCCTCAGCGGACTGACCAGACGATCCACAACCGCTTGAGACCCAGCTCGACCTTTAGCGCCTGCGCCTTACGCGAGCGAGACTTGCTGACAATGTCCGCCCACTGAAAATTGACAACCTGCTGGATGACCTCTGCGCCGTAACCACCCGTTTTAGCGCCCTTCCGGCCGCGATCGGGCGAATCCCACGCACTGTACAGGAAGCCCGTCTTGCGCCTGGGATCCGTCCCCCACTCCTGCACATACGCTTGAAACTTGAGCGCAACGACGAGCATCGAGCGGTAGATGTTGGTGTAGACGGTCGCGAGCGAGTTGTGCGACGTGTCGGTGTACATGACGTGCGAGCGGACCTTGACGGCGCTGTTGGGGGCGGAGTAAGCTGAAGATCTAAGAAGGGATAGTTTGGAAGGGACGCGCCGGAACATGGCGTGCAGCAAGGCCTGCCCCGGCTTGCGGTGCCGCTGGATCGTCAGCTGATTGACCATGTCTTCAGGACATCCATCAGCGTTTGACTCGGGATAAGCGGGAACGGAGCACACCTTTGTCCGTCGCGGCAGTCGTGCTGACCTTGACTTCGAGCGTCTCGGGGTTGATCGCAAGGCCGCACCATGGGAAGTCTGCGATGCATCGTCAGCAGTTGCAGTTGGTCTGCTTGCACGCGCTGCGCACCTTCGCCTTCAGGTAGCGGAGGAACGACTTCTCCATCGGCCAGCGCGACGTCAAAGTTCGTGAGGCGCTTGTCGGGCGAGATCGCGCAGCCGTACTCGGGGATTCCTATGTGACGAATGTCAGCGGTGAACAAGGAGGGAGGAGGGTAGAGAGACGGACCGTTGCTCATGGTCGAAAGGAAGCGGACAGCCCTTTCCCGCTCGGTAGAGATGAAGAGGAAGTCGTCGACGTAGCGCAGCAGCGTCTGCGATACAACGCATCAGCAACAGTCGGCCAAATTGTCAGAAAACGCACAGAATCTTCGTCGTCCGCGAAAGCCAGCTTCCGCCTCTCCATGTCGCCGTAGAACAGTGCGCATAACAAGCTCGACAGAATCGAGCCTTGCGGGATGCCCGTCTTCTGTCGGTAAAGGCGTCCGCTGACCTGTGGGCGGGGGAATGGTCAGCTCACAACGAGAGAAGCGGTTTCGAGAGAACGCACCTTGACCAAATTGGTGGTAATGTGCTCGTGCAGGACGTGCATGAGACGGTCGCGGGCGACGCTGGAGTAGGTGACCTGTCCGAGAGGCGAGTCAGCGCACGAACGAAGGACGCGTGCGAGATGGCGGACCTGATCCGATAGGACGACATTGTGCAGCTCCTGCGCAAGCTTCGATGCCAGCTCCTCGAAAGTGCCCAGATCGCCTACATCGCGATGATCAGCTAACTACAAGCGTCTCGTAGGGGAATGGACGCACCGTCCGTGCACGCTTCCCGCTTGAAAGATTTGAAGGGGCGGCCGTTGATAGGCGTGACCTGCGAGTACTTCTGGACCCAGTACAGCGTCTATCGCCTTGACATATCAGCTAACAGCTCGACAGATATGGCTGGATGACGCACCTCGGTCAAGACAGCCTCTACGATCTGCAGCAGCTTGTCCTGCTGGATCGTGTCGTACGCGGCTCGCACATCGACCTTGACGAGGTAGAACTTGGGACTGCGATCAACTCTATCGGCTTGCGATCGCGGGCAAGAGGGGGAGCTGCGACCCACAGCTTGCCGCCGTGCTTCGCCAAAAGCCTGCTCTTGTACGTCCGGATCTTGGCGTAGATCTGCTGAGGGTCCGAGACGAGCGAGCCGACGAGGTACGGCTTGCGTTTCTGCGTGATGCAGCGAGTCAGCTGGAGCTTTCCTTGCGCATACGAGCGCGACGCACCTTCTCGAACGTGAGAACGTCGAAGACGCTCTGGAGGATCTTGTTGATCGGTTGCCCAACTGTCTTCTGCCCGTTCGCCTGCGACAAAGTCGTCAGCGGGCCTTGTATAGAGTCAAAAGCGGCAACGCACCTCGATCTTGAGCGGTCGCCGGGCGAGGTTGACGATAGGTCGCACTCCCGTTTCTTTCGGCAGTAGCCGGACGTACGAGTAGCCAAGCTCGCGCTTGCGCTGGAGATTGAGGAGATGGTCCTGCACGAAGCGAGATCAGCGGACGTCGGACGGTACGAGGTGAAGTTCCGCACCTTGGGGACCTTCTCGAACACCGAATTGCCGAGCTGCGCAAGGAGAGGCGCACACAGGACGTTCCAGTCGTCTTGACGGAAGTAGAGCGGGCGGTTCTGATGCGTCGCGGCGTCGGTGACGTAGAAGGCGGTCTGTGAAGAGACTCGTGAATACGCGACAATGCGGAAAGGAAGACGCGGCTCACTCGGACGAGGTCGATGACGAAGGAATCGAAGAACCAGTACAAGAATACGCCGAGCAGCTCTCGCCGCTTGTTCATGTCCGCTGCGGTGGGTCGCTGGTGGCGCGAGGCGGAAGTTGCCGGGGCGAGCCAGTCGCAGTCGACAATGGCAAAACCTTGGAGCAGAGCGTGAAGAGAGGTCGTTTCGTACCGCCGCAAGGCGAGGAAGGAGGAGATGTCTGCGCAAGCCATCGTCAGCCGGTATAACCTCGACTTCAGTCGACGAGAAGCCGATTCACGCTTCTGGACCAGCTTGAAGTTCTGCTCGGATCCCCAAAACGCCTTCGGAATGACCTCCCGTACGACCTCTTGCACATACCGGTCCACCTCGTGCAGCGAGCAAGCAAACTCGGCGAGCTTCGGCTTGCTGCGCGCCTGCTCATTCGCCTGCGTCTGGCCGTGCGGGATGACGAGCGAGGTGTGCGAGATGTCGACCGAGACTTCGCCGCGCGAGACTTGGGTGCGCATCTCGCCGATGAGCTCCTGCGGGGAAGCCATGTAAGCGACGTAGAGCCGAAGCCGGCGTCCGCCGGCGAACTTACGAGCAATGCGCTTCGCTCGTCCTGGCTGAGGGTCTTGCGGTTGACCTGTATCGGGGCCGTCAACTTCGTGCGGACCGATCAAACTACAGCCGCCACGTACTTTCGATGGACAGCGCTTGTCGAGGACTTTGCGAAAGTTGCAGCGCCTGCTGAGTAACGCGAGTCGCTCGAGGTGCGGAAGAACGGCCTTGAGCCGAGAGGGAGTTTTGCTTGAGCCGAGTTTCTGGGATGAATGAGTTCGTGAGCTTAGTCTCGGTTCCCAGGCAGGAGACGCCTCACCTTGATCTCGAGTTCACGATCAAGGTAGTCCGGCATGACTTCGAGACTCGTCCGAGGCTTCGGGCTCGTGAAAGCGTTGTGCATGCCGAACTGGCGCGGGAAGATGTACTTGGCGAGGTGGCGAGCCGGTGCTTGCGACACCGCCTTGGACTGCTTGTCGTCCAGCTGGTCGGTCGGATTGGGCGGGAAGAGCGTCAGCAGGCGGGTCAGGATGTCTGAGGGCGCAGTCGTCAGTGTGACGTTATCTGGAGGCGGTAGAAGGACGTACGCTTCGATGGCAGACCATACGGGACGCGGCCGCCCTTGACCTTCGCAAGCCGGTTGTGGTACATGCGATGGCGGGACAGGATAACCGAATTGTCCGAGAACCTATGCGTGGCAATTCAGCTACGACGTCGAGCAACGTGAAGCGCTGTACGTACAGCGTCTCGAGCCGCCTCCGCTTGGCAGGCCGCTCGCTCATCTCGGAAGCGCCGATCGTACTTCCCGCCGAGTGCGTGGCGGCGAGCGAGCGTTTCGACGGCGACGTAGGCGCAAATAATCGTTGTGAGACGGTGTGGGCTGAGCTATTGGGCTGTCCGAGATCTGGTGCCGAGCATGAGGAACCGAGAGGGCGAGCTCGTTTCATTGGTGATGGCGAAGCTGGTACTTCGATGCGAGGGAGTTGCGAAGGAGACGGCGGGGGAGAGGGAGAGTGCTGAATGGGGTCGATCGACATGGGGGAGCCAGGCGCGGTGTCGTCAAACGGTTCCTCAAGCTGTGCCGTTTGGCCAGACTTTCGCCGCCGTCTCCGCTTCCTCCGCTGATGAGCGGGCCGTCCACTCCGCGCTGCAGATTGCGCGGTAGCATCGCCGCCCAGAGGCCGAAGCTCGGCGACGGGAGTGCCGGAGACCTGCAGCAAGCAGGCATTCGGCAAAGCAGTGAACACGGCTGTTGTCGGGGAGGCGAGCAAGTCGATGAGCGCGTCGGGACCGAGGCTGTCAAGCAGACGTATCAGAGCGTTGCATATGAGCGAGAGAGATGACCGGTGCCGTACCGAGAAGCGAGTAGTGCCCATTCAGGAGAAGTGACGAGCGATGCGGCGACGGTGTTCGGGAAAACCTGCGTGAAAGACGGTCCGAGGTTGCTTCTGCTACGGGTGAGATCCCCTCTGTTCTGTGTGGTCTGCGGGCCAGGGCGATCAGAGGTGCACTTTGAGAAAGCGCGATGAGGGAACACACGAGACGGTAGCCGAACGCGAGGATGTTCTTCGGAGTCGCCCACGCCACCCTGCCTGCAGCCTTGTCCCGCTGGTACTCTTTGGCGTGAGCTGCAAAGATGCGCTGCTGAACTTGGTCGACAATCTGTCCGGGACGAGGCGAACGTTAGCGTTTCGAAATTCGCACAGCTCGAGAACGGACTCGCACCTCCTCCATCGTGACTGAAGCATTCTGTACTGTCGTGGGCAGCTCAGGTGGACCGACCAGCGCCGTGCTCGCGACGACCATTCCCCCCACAAGCGACTGGTATCCCTCCGAGTCGTCCTTCTTGACTAGCCGGAAGCCGTCTGGCACGAGCTCTGCCAGTCTTGCGACCGTCGTGTACAGCTGCCGCAATGTCTGTAGCGTCACGTCTATCGAGGGTTGGCGAGATGGACTCGCGTCCTTGTTGAGAGAGAGGGCGTCGTCCGTCGGTGACTCCCCCATTTTGCATGTCGAGGCGCTTCTGAGTAGTACGTATGAGGTAGCGTAGCGCTTCAGCGAGGCGAGCGAGCCATCCTGAGCGACTTCAGCGGGAAGTGCTCTTCGGGAGATGTCAAGAGTGCTGTTGGCGTCCGTCACCTCGACACCTCCAGCTAGGCTAGCTCTGCGAGGCTCTCGCTGTGCTTTTGGACTCCCCATACTCCCGCTCAGCACGCCCGCACCGTCCTCAGCCGTCTCCTCCCCCTCCCACATCTTCATCGCCTCTCGCGCCTTCAAGCATGTCGTCTGGCAAGGTGGGCGCGTACGGGGCGAATTCCAAGGTGCGTGTGCTATGAAAGAGTTTGTTGCTAGCGCTTGAGCTGAGCTGATTACCGTTTGCGCCGCTCGCAGTCCGACACCAACTTCCGAGTGCGCCGCCATCCCATCAAGCCTTGTCTCCCTCGTGCTCTGACCCTGCTGACCCCGTCTGTCCTCCTCACAGCGAACATGGGACCAGAAGGAGTACGAAGACAAGGCGCGGGAGAAGGTGCGCAATTCGCTCGCTCTCGGCAGACTCGCTGGGCTGACGAGCTGGTTCGTGGTTTGCAGGACAAAGAGGCTCATGAAGCTGCTCTGGCTGCCGAGGAAGCTGCCAAGAAGGGTGAGCATTCTCTCACGGTGTCTCCCGCTTTCGCTGACCAGTCCCTCCGCAGGCAAGCGACCACCTCGGAAGAAGGAAGACCTCCCGAAAGCGACCGAATTCATGAAGGCGCGCGACATCCCGCTAAACCTCGACAAGAACCTGAACAAGACGATCGTGATCGACGCGAGTGCTGGGTCGGGCCAGAAGCAGCCGGGATTCTATTGCGACGTGTGCAAGCGGACGTGCAAGGATAGCGCGCGGTATCTGGATCACATCAACGGTCGGAGTCGTGCGTGCTCTCTCTTCCTTACTTCACTCCGCGTCGTGCAGATCAGCTCACGACTTGCTTTGCCCTCCCTCTCTCCCTCTTCCGTCGCCCTCTTCCGTCCCCCGCCTTCCGCACCCAGACTTGCGACGACTCGGCCAGACGACCAAGGTCGTGAGCTCAACCCTGAACGACGTCCGCCAAAAGATCGCCGAGCTACGCGCCAAATCCGCCGCCGCCGCGCAAGCAAAACAATACGACTTTGAGCAGCGGATCAAGGATATCAAGGCTGCTGAGGCTGCGAGTAAAGCCGAGCAGCGGGAGGCGAAGAAGAGGAAGAAGGAGGAGGAGAGGCAGAAGGCGGAGGAGGAGAGGACGGCGGGCGCGGATGAGGATATGATGGCGGCGATGGGATTTGGGTCGTTTGGCGGAGGAGCGAAACGGTGACGGCGCCGGTCATGGTGCGCTCGCAGATGCATTGTTGTAACAGCATTCGAGCAGCGGATCTCTCACACGCGAGAGCACGGCGAGCGGGTGGACGGGCATAAGCCGTAGCGAACTTGGCTGAGGAGCAGCGAGCAGCAACGTTTCCGCACCAGCAAGCGGCGACAGCGAGGACTAAGCAAGCAAGCGCAGCGCAGCAACAGAAGCTCTCTCGCGGACGGAGCAAGACGACGAAGTGAGGAGACAGTCCTGGCCCCGTTGCAAGCCAACCCCGCCCAGACTACACGCAATCCTCCTCGACGCCTCAACTTCCAACGACGAGGCTCCACCACAATGCGCCAGGACCGACGAAACGGGAGGCGAGGCGAGTAGACGACGGTCGA